ACAAGAAATATAAAACTTTTGCAACGGACATTTGACTTTAAATCTAATTAATTGTTATTAAATAATGAAAGTATATTAATATAATAAATTAATTCATTAGAAATATAATCATATAATAAATGTTGTAAATCCATTGCTAAAGGTATGTACAAAATCCAAACACATTTGCAGCTCTCAGCCATCATTAATTATCTGCGGTGGATCTCGTGTGTTCTTTTTTTTTGGTGTGCGGCCGAAGGCAAAGAAGAAGGGAGCGGCGAAATATTAATAATTCGTCTAATTTTTGTGCCCTCCTCGCCTTTCGTCCTTCCTTCATCTGAGATGATCCCCTTTGACGCCAGGCGTTCAGGGCTCGGGGCGTAATTCGTCTGGGGCTGCTGCTGCTCCTGCTGTAAGAGTTGCTTACCAACCCCGACAATGCAGTACTTCTTTCTTTCCCTCATTCCGCCGCGGTACGTGTGCGGTCCTCAAGTATCCATGGGGCGGTAAAAAGGTACAGCACACCCTATTAGCATCCACTACAAAAGATATTATAATATGATTGACACCTGACAACGAAAAAAATCCTACCATCCGCGATTCGTCACGCAGATTTTCTGTTTTGACGCTGTTTCTTTCCCTTAAATTGCAGCGCTCATTGTCTTCTTCTCGTCCATATTAATACACACACAAACACTTTTCCCATCCGCAACTTCTCCCTTCTCGTCGTTCCTCTTCTGCTGTTGGTCGAATCGCGTGTTGCAATTGTTTCGAATTCCTACGTGTATTCTGTTTTTTCTCTTTCTCGCTATTATTTCCCTCTGTTTGCTTGGTGTGTTTCGTTTTTCTTCTTGTTTTCGTTATTCCCTCTCTCGCTCTCTTCCTCTCTTTTTTTTGTTGTTGTTTAATTTTTATTTTGGGATCGCGTGTGCTGCGGTGCAGCTAGTTTTTTTTCTTGTGCGGGTTGCATGGCGGAAACCGCATTCGCTGGGACATCCCTTGCGATTAAATTACTATCGAACTCTTTTAGGGGAGGTCAAAAGGTGCAACACGCAAAACGAATCCAAACACACAGACCCACACACACATACATACACACCATATGTGTGTACGTATTGAAAATAGTCACGTAATAAAACATTAAAGAGAATTAAAAAGAAATAATAATAAAAGTGAACGAATTAATTAATTTGCTATATGCTTCGAGTGCATTAATTAATTAACGGCGGACGCCGAGATTAAAGATTTATCATGAGTGATCCGGGAACTTCGCTCATTAATCCACTTCTCCTTCCGATTAATCGAGAGAAATATATTTTCCTTTCGCTGACAAAATCGGAGAGGAAATTGGTTTTAGTTAGAGAGATGACCTACTACATTATTCGACCGCAAAGAAGGAAGCTCCAGAATTATATAGTATACAAGAAATAATACAATTAAAAACAAAACATTTTTCATACTTATAATAATTTTATAAAATTTTATTACAAAAACTGTTATATAAACAAAGCCAAATACTTATATTTACTTTACTTACTTACTTTTTACATTTAATATAGTACATTGTTTTTTTTAATATTTTTACGTTAAATTTTAATATACATGTATATAAATGTTGTCTAATTAGTAGTTATTCTAGTAACGAATACGAATGTTACTTCAAATTAGAAAGTGAACACTGATGTCAACAAAGACAATTTCAGTAGTTAAAACTAAAACCCATCCTAAATTGAAACATCCCTAATACTAGGAATTAACCTTTTGACTATTAAACAATTACTAATCCGGTGGAGGTAGTAAACCCTCAGATTTTCTAGGAAATATTACTCATGTCATAGTTGTACTACTTAAAGTAATGTTCATTTTCGATTATTGCAAATTTGCGTTTGTCATTTAAAACTGATTGAAAAAAAAGTTGGATATGATTATTGTTGGTTGGATATAATCAAGTTAACGCTGAAAATCAACTCACTTGCTAATCCTGATGTAACTACGTGTAAATGTGGCTGAAAATAAACAAGAATCAATTAAAATTGTATGATTTTTATTGTTTGCGAAGCAAAGGCTAGAAACGCTCGCATCATGCTCAATCCTTTCTACACATATTTACTCAGTGTACATTTGAGTGGATTTGTGTTGGCCAGTGGGAAAACAAAAAGACGAGACGGAAAAGATACAAGAGATATAGAGATATCTCGTTCGCAGTCTTTTGTGATGAATTGCCTCCGAATGACTAAACACAATTCGAGATGAGGCTGCTCAAAAGCCTCTCTTCTCTGAGCCTCACTCCTTCCTCCTCTCGACCATCTCATCGCACGTACCCCCAGAGAGGACTAAGACGAAGACGGCCCAAGAGTGTTGGTAGATTTTACAGGCCATCACACGCCGTAAATGGCCATTATATAGCTATTAATCCTCGTTAAATAATTATTCATCACCCCAATGCACCGTATAATGCCTCATGACAACCTCACGTAATCGCACGGAAAGAATCATCTAGCCTCGCGCAACGATCAAACTTCACAATGTCATTTTATTATTTTGTTTGTTTGTTTTTTGTTACGCTTCTATCGTTTCTCAATCCAACAAACATTTGATAACAATACGTTTGCATGGCGAGGATATGCGACTTCCTCCAATCAAATATCACATCTACTTATTGTTTCATATACTCATTTCACGTAATGAAATAATCTAATACATACAATACAATGTTTGCATTAATAGGTATTAATGAAGCAACAAAATTGTCAATCAAAGTAATCGAATAAATTAATTTTATGTAGATTAAATTAAAAAATATTAACTTTTTTTCAATTCATTTTAATAAATAATAATTATTATTGCAACGATAAATCACCAAAATATAATTTCAATACAATAATATAATAACAAAAATTAAATTACTTTAAACTGCTTCAAGGGCTATTGACCTTTAAAAATAATGTTTAAAACGTGATATTAAATTTTCCATTAAATGACCACTGCAAGCATCTGCTCTTTTGCTACTTTACATTTAACAAAATATTACAAAAATAAAACATTATAGGAGGATAAAATATTATTATACAGCCTATTAATATATATATTTTATTTTATGTTCGAATGTACTTCTTTTTTTTCTTATGTATTCATGTTTGGCCAATAAATTATTATTATTGTTATTATATTGACTTTATTAATAAGATGTGTGAGATTGTTTGATTAGGTGATTTTTTAGTGTTATTATTTTAATTTCATATTTTTGTTTTTCCATGTTGAACAATTTTCTATTTTCTGTGCACAAAATTTTAATAAATAACACATAACCAAACAAAAGAAATGAACAGTTAGAAACTAGAATTAAATTTAAATAAAAAGTCCACATTTTATTCACTTACTTTATATGTTTCTAAAAGCGTATATACAATAAATTATGTTTATTATTATTGTTTATGCATTTCATAATATAATTGCGAAAATTGCAAAATTGAGATTCAAAAAAATTATCAACAAAGAAAATTGCACTACCACCAATGGATTACAGACTGTTTTGTGTACATATAAGTTTAAATGCTTCAAGGTTCATAAATATATTATTTTTTAACGATAAATATTGTTGTTGGTATTATTTCAAATGGGGTAACTGGATTTCCGCTGCACCTACAGCGGTATATTCAAAAGAGAAGAGAATACTCTCCAGAAGTCTAATTTTGGTGAGAAACGACGTGAAGCGTAAAATTTAATAATGGATGATGATAGAAATATATTCTTGGCTCAACAATTTGGAACGAGAATCAAATTCTACGAAACCCGAATGCATGCGTGTGCATATGTATGTGTGCAAGCGTCACGGCCTCCTGCGCTTCTTTGTTTCAAGGAATTGACACGCATTGCGCAACGCTTCGTCCTCTGTTTCTCCGATGTTTGTTGCTGCTGTTCGGTTATTTCGTTGCCGTAATTTTGTCATTTTAGTTTCCACGTTGGAAACAACGCTATGTTGAAATTGCGAGCAAATTGTGTGTGACACAAACACGCTAAACCTGCCGGTTGCATAACCACGCACGCAACGAGCAGCGTACATTATTGGCGTTGAGTGCAGAGTGGAGCATGAATTGGATTCTCGGATCGAGAGTGCGTTATGTAATTTTGAAACCTGTGTCGACACCTGCTGTCCAGACACCAAATCAAATTACCCAAAGGGGTGGATGCTCTCAGCGCGCATGCGTTGTGCACGTCCCACACTCCCGACCATTGCCCAACCAGCCCACCGGTTGCCATGGCGACCAGCTCTAATTATATGTCTCCGATTGGTCCGCTCCTTTCGCATCCATAACGTATGCACCAATTAATATGGCCGAATGCACGCGAACGCAAGTATCGCTTCGTGCGTATGCAAATCTTATCACTCACCGCACAATGAATCCATGAATGAGAAGATATTGCTGAGAACAATTTTTATAACATAGTACATATATGAAATAATTAACTTATATATTTTGAAGTACCACATTAATTTTATTTCTTGTTATTTTTCCTCCATCTGGATTACATTTAATCGGCTCTCTTGGTATCATTTTGTATTATTACAAAACTACTAATTTTGTCTGTAAAAGGGATGTGGATAAGCCATATAAGTGGCGGATTGAGGGTAGTTGGGCCTCTAGGTAAAACATTTTTGGCTTTAATATTATTTTAAAGATTTATATTTCATAAACGGTTGCTTACTCATAACTATATTTGTTAACTTCACTATTGTAAGCAATATAATGGCCTGTTGACACACAAATAATCGAAATCTTATATAGTTGGGCAGTTAAATTTATTAGTATTTATATTTAATTCATACCTTGTTTTTTTTTTTACTAAAAACTCTTGTAATGTAACAACTTTAATATTATTGTTTTTTCACATTTTAATTTAAGAAAATAATTTGCCAACAGTATATTTTTACCATGATACATATATATTTGTAACTTTTTTTATTTTAATGAACCTTTTTTACTCCCTTTCGGTGTTTTTGTTGGTTTTTGGGGTTCAAACTAACTTTTTTATGTCGGATTTTTGTGATACTGACGACTATATATTTGTATCTTGAAATGAATAACATTTACATCATGTAGTTATAAAGAAAGCATTATACATTTTATAATAGGATATGATCCACCGGTTGCATAGATCCGTAAGAACCAATATACCTTTCAGTGCCTCTTCAACAGGGAGGTTTAAAAAATATTGTAATTTTGCATGTTGATTTGAATTTATTAATACAAATATTAATTAGATATAATATTCAGTTTTAAGTTAAAAACAATACCAAATTTGAATGGCATATAGATAATAATAGATTTCAAAAGCATTCTGGACTTTTCTCAATCTCATTGACAATTAGCTTTGTTAACACTGGAACTTCCATATGATTAATTGGCTGATTCAAACTAAGATACACAGTTTTTTTTAATTTCTTGGACAACATGGATACAATACTTGCAAGGAAATCATTGTCAAAGCTACCCATTATATTTGTCGTTATATGCTTGCCCCCTATAGGATTCATAACACCCATCGCCAGCTGTGTAAAGTCTTTCAGTTGTCCAGAAGTTACAACAATCATCACTGAGTCCAACATTTTTAACACATCAAAACTGTACTCCTTCTCATGTGTCTTAGATGAAAACGAATATACTTCGAAGTTCGATTTCAACGTTTCCATTTTGTACACTGGAATAAAATTACTTTTAATTATAGAATAGTTCATTACTAAAACCCTTACCTTGTATTATAATGACTTTTTGTTTTTAGGTTAGACTTGAAAACATTGAACTATAGTTATGCAACAAACATAGCATTTGTGATGATAATTTAAATTCTCATGAGATGAAATATTTGAAGTGCCCAAGAGAATAATTTCAGTTATTTTAATGATGGCATCAGAAAATAAATCATTAAGAACAGTCGTTCCCAACAGGTTGGTGCCCTTAGGGAGGAAGGGGGTTTGGAAACGGTCGATGAATACGATTTTAAATTTTATTAATTGTAATCATAATTTTAATATGTATTAATATATGTTTTTTGATATGATGAAATCTATAATAATTTGCTTCTACATACGAAAGTTCGTTTGTTTTTCTGTAACTCTATTCTGGAATCTGTAAATCTATTTTGTAAATTGATAAAACTATGGCAAAAATTAAATGTTCCGTCTTCAATTATCAAATCTTTTGAAAGCTGTATCATATATTGATTTCTCTTTGTAGGAATCGATTGAACTAAAAGAGAATTTTGTATCTAAAATCAAACATGATTTGCCAAATATTGGATTTGCAAAGACATTCGTAAAAAATACTTTAAATTAACAAATATACCCAAAAAATAGTTGGGAACCATAATTTAGAAACAAACAAAATTTGAGCTTTGTATGCATATAAAACAGCAGAAAATCGACATGAAACTCACAGGTGATGGCTAAACATTTTTATATATGGATAATTTTCTATAATTATGTTTATGATCATGAATTTTCTGTATGATATAATTTTAGAAATCAATAATTATCATGTAAATACAAATGTGTTTATTTTAATTAAAATTTTCAAATTTCAATTGCTTTGAAAAAATGTTATATACTAAAAATCTAGTTTTTCCATTGTCCATTACATTACTTAGAGAATTAGTAAATACAATAAAATTTAACCAAACAATCAAGAATACCTTTCTCTACTATGCATATAAATTGATGTTTTAGCATACACCTGCCTGCTACTTTTAAAATTACAGATGCGGGCCTCACGTACCAGCCGTGTACCAATTGCAGGAAGACCGCTTATCGGTACTATCAATCAGTTGTCATTAAGTATATAAGGCGCAAATATTCTAGACGAAATGTACACCGAAGCAGAGAACACAATGTGCAACATCAAGTCAGCCTGCTGGACCTTGGTCCTTCTGATTACTTTCGAAATCATCTTAGCCCAAGATGGTGCGTTCTTCCTGAAGGCATCCAAGAGCGTTCCCAGAATTGGAAAGCGCAACAGAAACGAGAACGATGAAAACTTCAGGAAGATCTTCCTAAAGGCTTCCAAATCCGTGCCAAGAATCGGCAGAAGAGACGTAAGTATTCTAAATATCAAGTTCATATTTTAATCGTTTGATCATATATTAACAAAATATATTATATATTATTTAACATATGTATCATTTATATAATATTATTTAGAAAATGTGCTACTAATAATGTATTGTTTCAGTTTGTTCCTGCGATGCAACAAAAAGAAATCGCCGAGAAATGTAAGTAATAAAATATAGAAATTTTAAAATAAGTTTTAATGTAGGTACTATTTAATTGAAACGTCTGTATTTCTGTTATCTTAGATGAAAATTGGTCGGATATTGCTGATCTATATGAATACTATCCGGAGCTGTTTTCCTCACCGCAACTACTGTCACAGTTTGAAGACTATAAGATGTATGGGGACCAAATTTTTCCAGAGAAGATGCATATGAAACGGAAAGATGAATCAGAATTAAGAGAGTTCCATATCGAACAAGACAACTAGAATCTGTTGGATAACGATATATATTTTTTTTATTGGAAATAAAGATTTGACCTTAGTATAACATATTTTATTTGTTTACGTTATTGAGAAACCATTCATTTTAACTCAAAAATATTTTAAATGTAAATGCTATTTGCAGTGGCCAATAAGTCGAACTATTCTTAATCCCCCACTGAATATTTGTCTATTTTATAAAATTACTTAGTGCAATAAATTGGAAGTTTATTTTAATAAATAAATAAAATTTAATTTATTTTTAATAAATATTTGCTAATAGGTAAAATAAAATCTACTATATGAGTATATTTGAATTTATACTTATCTATTTTTTTTTCGGAATTATCTTTTCCATATAGTTATAGATTATTTACTATAAGTATATGCATAATATATTAAGATAAGGAAACATATATAAAGGAATAATTTAATTCAAACAAATGATGAAAATACAAATTGATAAGCGTTTCTATATTCAAAATTTCCTGAGATTTCGTAACATCTTAGCTACACAGTTGTTAAAACTAAGGCGACATTTACTGAAAAATAATGTTGAATTGAAGTACTATAAAGACAAATATGCATTTGGTCATATGCACATACAACAAAACATTAAAGTATAAAAGGAATACTTTCAATAATGCCAATTGTATGACTCGCTCAATCTTCGTATTAACGTTTACAAATAAAAAGCTCACATCTTTAGTATTCACACATTTATTTCAATATCTATTTAGAAAAATTATAGTTATATGATTTAAATATATTATTTATATATCTATATATATTTCTTTCGCTTTTTGTTTGAAATATTCATAAAAAATTAAACTTTACATATTTTTTCGTAAAAAAAAAACAAACTTGATCAAAACAAACTTAACAATTCTTTTTCATATGTATATACATGACCACCATTTCCAATCGCCAGCAATTATATTATAAAAATATGCATTGTCCAACAGAGGTGATGATAAAAATAAACTAATAATACGCAAATGATTGCGAATATATCACAAATGAATATGCATTATTCCTCGAACCACACAATCAGTTTCGACTACTATTATCTCACTTAAAAAAAAAAAAAAAAACATTCACTTTCTAGGAGAGTACTTTGGATTAACAGGCATGTGCGTGAAGCTGCGCAATTCGTAGCACATATCAATTCCATGTGCTGTAGCTGTGTCTACATCAGACTTTCTGAAGATAATCATGCGAATGTCGCTGTGCAAGTAAATACGACCAGACTTTGAGCTCATAAATCTGTAAACAGAAAATATGTAATACTAATGAAAAATGCCAATGCAGCTATAGTTTTTACCTAAGATGAATTAAATATCGTAGCCACTTTGGTCCCCATTCCAATTCCTTATCGTGACAATTTGTTGGCATGTAAAGAGTACGCTGTCGGATGAAAGTTTGAGAATTTGGTGGCATGTCTGCAAGGTTGTACATAATGACAAACATTTTGACTACGGTACCAAGAGGATTGAAAAGAGTCACTTGAATGGTACCGGTTTTAGGCACGTTGTAGCCTTTTCTACCCAAATTAATATGGCCCTGAAATAATTTAGTCAAGAATAAGAATGCACTCATATGTATAAAATTTAATATTACCAGATAAGGTGAAGAAACTTTATCGTTATCGCCAAGAGTATAGAAAAATACAGTAACAGGAACAACCAAGTGCCTTGGAACGAAAGAGCCACTAGCCCCAAGTTCTGCTTTAAAACCATGAACCGTTGAGACAGGTTCCAAACGACCGTTCAGTACTGATTCTTCGAAACTACCTAAACACAGATGCATGGTTTACACGTACTTCTAAAATACATCCAAAATGGGATTTACCTAAGAGGTTTGCAGAATGGCTACGTCTATATACTTTGACCGGCGTAGGTTGAGGTTTTTGTGTATATATGTATGTTTCCGGGCTGCAGGGGGAAACTATACTACCGTCACTTTCACTATCGTCATCGGTCGAGAAACTCGCAGAGAATAATGCACTGAGAACAGTACAATATTAAAAAAAATAAGATATTTAACTATAGTTGATTATGAACCTTTTGATATCGGACACTGAGTTAATACTGGAATCGTAATCGAAACACGACTTGCCACGTCTTATGGGTGCAGGACTGCTGGTCAGCGGTAGTCCTGTGCGTGAATGAAAAACCATGGATGCAGCACTATCCAAGTTCTTCCTAAACTTGGCCTTCTCGAACGGCGAGGGTATATCAATTGTAATTGACGATTTGTCCGCCGGCTGTTTAAAATCATCGAATTGAATCTTCTGGCGTACCTTTGATTTACAACCTTTTCGCTTATTGTTACTGGCACTATCACAATTATCACTAAAAGAACTACAGATTTTTTTTGAAAATATCTCTCCACTGCCGTTAATCTTCAAATTTCTACTATTACATTCACTCTGAACACATTTAACATCACATTCGCTCATATGACCGGACCCACCATCCTGGAGACGGCAACTGCGTAAAATCGCATTCAGGAGGACGTCTCCACGGCCATTCTGCTGATTGCTGAGATCATTTTCCATGACACCCATCGCCTCTCTAAACTCGTCTCGGTTCAACATGAAATCCAGCTTGGGGGTTTTTGTATCGCCGACTCCAGCGCCAACGCTTTCAATGTTCCTCTTTTCGCTGGAGCCCGAAGTAGAGGGCTGTGACAAACTACAACTTCCGCAGCTCTTTAAGAACTTGTACTCTTTCTTCACATCAAAATCATCAAAGTCTTCACATCGGTGCTTTCCCTTCAAAGTGCACTTGGTATGCATTCGATCGTCCAACATCCAAATATCCTCTGCTGAACTCAAATCGTCAGATTTACATTTGGTACATACGTTCGAAGGCGGTTTCGACATCCGAGGTAAGCTTAAGAGTGTCACATTAAGTTGCAAGCCATTTCCCATATCGGTGGTTGGAAACAAATGCTCGTTTGCATTTTCATTAAATTTTGGCTGATCGAAAGTTTCGCCTGGTATAGCTAAACGATACTTCAGGTTGGCATTAGATATGTGCGGTGCACCTAAGTCCTGACACGAAAGCCAGGCAGAAATTTGCGAGAAATAAAGCTGCGAGCGAACTGCGCTTATCAGCTGATTCACATTGAACGGAACCGAAACATCAGACGGTCTACAAAACAAAACATGTTTGCATTAATATTTTTCTGTATTCTTAAAATGACAATTTATACCTATCTTGGGTTATAGAGAAATACCATTTTTCCAAAAGCAAGTCGTCGTCGGAATTGTTCTCGTCGCCGACGTTTTCGCGACAGGGGCAGTTAGAAGCCAATGAAACCTCCACACACAAGGGAATCCCTTTTTGCCATAAATTTAAAACTTTTTCTTTTATGAATTCATACCTTTGACACTAAAATCAGAAAAAAAAAATATAATTGAATTAATTACAACTAACTAAAATAAGATAATTTTTGTAATATTTAAATAATTTTGAGTTCAAGTTATAAATATAGTATGTATATATTTTACATTATTATTTATTGTCGATAGGCGCATTATTGTGAAAATTTAAAGTAATTTGTGATAGTTACCAAATCATCAGTAGGATTACAACTATGTGGTGTACTTTTCGTGGTCGCAGTGCAATGTGGTCCTTCGTAGAAGCCGCGATGATTAGAGGTGGCGGCATTTGATGAGACTGAAGTTAGAGGCCCTTTGGCAGGGATACGACCTTCGGTAACGAGGGCGGCGATAGCAACCAGCACGTCCCCACCATCCCTTCCGGTTCCGGCCTCAATATCAAAATTTGCACTATGCATCTGGAAACAAAACATAATTGACGACATTCTAGTTAAACATAGTCGGATGTCACCTTGACATCCCTAGCCCGAACTATCCGAAGAAAGGCAGTCATTTGTGTTTTTCAGTTTTATTTTTTCGCTTGTTTATGTCTCATACATTGGACGAAGGAAGTGGAACAGATGCAATACTGTGTATATATTTAAGTGACATTTGGGTTAGAAATGCGGAAATGGGGGGCAAAAGTGGAACGGACCTTTCAGCAATTTCGAGTTGAATTGAGCAACGCGCGCGGCGCGTGCAATATTTTATTCACGATACGCGCAAACTCATCGGAAAGCAGGAGCATATAGAGAGAAAGTATAACGACGATGTGCTGCTCTTAATTATCGTAAATTGAAATTGCTTAAACATCATAACAATTTGAATTGATTCAATAAGACGTTTCGTAGGACAACATTCAAATTATCAATGCATTAAAGACTAAACCTCCTCGTTCAGAATCAATGCTGCCTTTAGAAAATATTAGGATACGCTCTTAATAATAATAATATTTTGCCACTGTGAAAAACAAAACTTAAACATTTTATATACAAGAACATTAATAATAAAACAAACAAGATTCACTGCTGCTACTGACCATAAGTATTTCTGCTCAATACTCTAATTTACTTAAATAATCAAAAATATATTAGTAGTCTTCAAAAAGTTAAGAACATTAACAAATCAAGAAATTTTGGGTAAACCTGTTAATACATTTAAGTTATTTAAAAATAAATGTGAATCAATAGATTGGAATGTTGTCGAATGGTCATTAAAATGTTATGATATTTAAGAGGTCTTCAGAAGCTGTAGCGTAGATCCAGCTGATTGTTATATATACATATTTCCCAATGACGTAAAAGGCGGATAGCGACGCCATTGGCTATTTTTAAAGGCGGTGGCTAGGCATTGGCGTGATACCAGATACAGATTCGCGTGAACTGGAAGGAGAAAGGATATAAAGGATGTTGGGGCACAGCTGATCGTTGCCGAGGCCAGCTGACTGTCGAGGTAGGAGAGATTACATGCAAAGCAGCTCAAGGTTGGCCTATCCAGCGTTTTATGTCTGTATACACGGTTGCATTTGATAAATGGAAAATTACATTTCGATTCTAAGAATGTAATATACAAACATTATCTATAAAAATCTTGAAATTGCATATGTTTAATAAAAAGAATTTGAACTTAAACTTCGGTAGTATCATAAATAAACATCCATTTATAAGAGAATTGAAAATTTCATTAAAGAATTGTGTTAAACAATTCACCCATAACACCAGTTTTTCTCTAATTGAACACGATTATTTATATTGTCTCCTTTTATTTTAACAGAAAAGGAAAAGTCGATGTGATTATTGTTCACATGCAGGTGAAAGAGCATTGCATTTCCAACACCGAAAACGTTTATTGAATCCATATGCATTAGAAAGTATCAGAACGATAGTGCTTTTTTCTTCCATGTTTTTGTTTTACTGACACAGATTCTCGATTACATAATTACAAGATGAAGAAACAAAGAAAAAGAGTCAAATGTTGCCGGATTAAGTTTCAAAATGAACTTGAAGTTAATTGGCGAAAACAAGAGTCGAAAGTTCTCCATTTCATTTACAGAGTAATTTATAAGTATGGTTCATTTCTAATTTACAATTAAATGATATCTAATGCAATTGTTCCGAGAACTTAGGACTTATATAAAATAAATAAATAATTGGTTATCAATGTTTCAAAATTAGAAGAATAATCGTTAATCATTATTGAACTGCTGATGCATCGTCTACGATAGAGCCAACATCCGGTTCAAATATTCCTACAAATTAAATTTTCTTTATAAAACTTGTTTATTATAGCTTAATTCGAATGCCATATCTTCCTTTTATTTTCGGTCCGGTTGTTTGCCCCGAAAAAGAAAAAAGACAACGTCTGCGGCGGCGGCGGCAGCTGTACCTCATGGGGGAACCCCGTTCCGTCTGGTGTCTGTGAACTCCCAGGTCAAAATACTTCGAAGCTCATTCACATCCTCAGGATAACAAAACATTCGGGCGTCCATACAATGAAAATAAAAACATGATTCATACCAGTCACAAAAGGTCTAACAATACCGGAATATGTTAAAACGTAGCATGCGAATCAGACATATGTTCAAAACTCAATGCGAAATTCTGGTTTAAAAATAAATGGAATGTATATAAAGCAAAGAAATTGGTTTGTATTAGTTTTGCTTAACCCACGGATATTGAGCTACGAAAAGTAACCTTGCTCTAAAAATCGATTCAATGTTGCTTCATTTAATACAATTTCAAATATGTTTAAAAAAATAATTGGTAATTTTATTAGATTTAAGTTAAGAAGTAGTAGCGATTCGAATCTGCCAAAATGATCTGCACACGAGCTCAGACAGTTCACATTTTTACATGCGAGTGGTAGTGAAGAAAAGTCGCGTGCGCACGTGTCGCGCGAATTAAAATAAAATCGAATGCGGACAGAAAAATCGAAAGATTTTCCGTTCAACGGAAAGGAACACGATCTCCACGACGTTTCCACCATTGGTTACGCAACGCGTCGACACCCGTATTGTACGCTGCTGCGAATCCAACTATCGATTGCGTAATCGCAATCTAGGAAACTACAAATAAATAAATATGTTTCGTATCTGATCGAACTTTCTCCGGTGAAATAAACTTTTACTACCATCATTCGAAATATTAAAGACTCCTACTTATATCATTAAATACACATTACTGATAACTAAATATTGTACTCAAACGTAAATGTGAGAATATATAAGTAAATAAATAAAAAAATAATCACATTTTAGAAGTGATTCATAGGTATTACAAATTAATTGACATCTATACATTTCGAGCGTGTATATATACATATATGAATCATTAACAATGCATTATAATGTATGACAACAAGCGTTAATAACTATGTTAAATTAAGTAAATCAACATTAAAATTTTAATAAGCTTTATGAAATGATATTTTATTCTTAATATCAATTTAAATGTCGATACATTGTCATGTATGTAGAAATATCAGCCAATAGTTTGACATTGATGTTTAACATTGGCAAAAATAAATTGTGAATATTTGCCAAAACATTGTGATCTTATAAAAGGTTAATTAAAATCTATTTCTTGCTCTTCACTATTCCAAATTTAAGATTTTTATTAATACATGAATTTTTATCTTTTCAATTTTATAGCAATTGATGTATCATCCAATTCCTCTAATTAAATAAAATAATTGAATATTTTTATTTATGCAGGATATGTTTACTGAAAAATGTCCATCTTTCATCTGGAAGTTGAGTGGTTCCACTATCATTTGATAAGGCATATATGTTTAAATTGGAGCATTGGAGCATTGAGGAAAGACTTTTAAGTTGAAAATTGAAGTTCGAGAATCCAATGTTTATTATATAAGAATTTCAACTGTATATTTACATTTCAAAATTGGCGATGATAATATGACAGTTGAAAAGCTGTTTCAATAATAATCCTGAAACAATTTAAAATAATGTACAAGATTAACCATAAATATAAATACTAGAACACTAACTTAAAGTAATGTATATCAAATGGTAAATCTAAGTTTAATATTCGCAAAATACAATGACAATAGCAGCAATCCCATATATAAATATGGTTATCTAAATATGGAAATATGGTTAACTCTGAGGGACCAACAAAATTTGGAATACAATATGTTTAATTGGAAATTGAGTTCAAGGGCGTCGGAATGATTTAAGTGCAACGACTTGGAAAATTTTCCAAAATAGTGAAACAAGAAGAGTTATTTTTAATATGGTCGGACGGCCCTTTGGTCTGTAATACGAATGACATGGATACAATATGGTCAGGTCAACATGTCCATTTCACTGAGTGTCAATGATGCTTTATCTATCTATATATATGCGATATATATTGAAAGAATACAAATGCAAATCGTGTCAGCCACAAAATGGCAGTCACACGAGCTGACATACGGTCAAGTCTGGGACTGCCAAAGAAGTCTCTCACTCGATATATCGACTTCAGTCTATGTGCAATAATCTGGTACGGTATCCTTGCTCGGACTCACCTTTCAATTTCTGGCTCAACTAATTATTGCGTAATGCTCGCCCTGCTATATAAATGCCGACAAGGGCATTTCAGGCAACCTCATTGAAGGCATTTCGACTCTTGATCTTCTGGAGTACTTCTCTGTTGTATGACACTCTTCGCCTGCTGTAGTCACTTCGTTGTTTTGGTTTGTTCTATATGTTGACAGATCGCAGGTTCCCTCAGTACTAATCAGCTGTTCTGAAACCAGTTAGCTATGCCACCGCCCTCTCTGACCATGCAACCAATCCAATTATAGAGCGCCAAAATTCAAAACATATTCTCTGTAAAATTGTACATACTTATCAAATGTTTGGATGTGCTATCATTAATACTAGAATCATACAAGTATATTTGTATACAAGATTTGATATATAGAGTAATCAATATATTTATTTAAACAGTTCTACAAAAACAAATAAAAAATAATTTATATAATCATAATCAAATAAAAAATAATTAACCCCTACAAAGAGCTACTGACCATAGGTCATATTAATTTCTACTTGAAAAATACATACATACATTTTCTAACATAGCAAGTAAACATGTTTATCATTGTAATGATATTTAGTATTTTAGGGCAGAAAGTTTACAGTCAATAGCCTTTTGGTCCTATATGGGTCATTTCTTTTAATTCAGCATTTGTCTGTTATTAAATTAAAATAATCATCCTAACTGTGATCAGGTAGCACATTCGTCCCACTCAATTTATTGTTGATATCTCAATTGAAGGAAATGTATTTAATTACTATTAATTATTGACAAACTGAAAAGTTTATTATCAAAAAAAAATATTGAAACATTTTTATTAGCCATAATTCTGACCAAAATGTTATCAACTTTAATTTTATTATAGATAGTTTACAGTAGGAATTGTTAATAAGACATTTACAGTATTGTGGTTAATAATTTTATTTAGTCCATTTGGTTTAATAATATATAAAAGAGAAATATTTGTAATAGAATGAAGCATTTAGCAATTGCTATTTCTTCCCAGATTTTTTAATGCCACCTCCAGTCAATGGTCCCTTCTGTGAGGCTTTGTTCTTAGCATCAGCCATTGCTTTGGCCTGTTCCTTTTGCTTTTGCTTGAAGGCGAGATCATCATCATCCATGTCCTTGTCAGCCTTCTTTGGGGCCTTCAACGGTTTCTTTTTACCACCTTCACGACCAGACATTTCTAACAAAATAAATATATAAAAAATCAAATAGTTTGAACAATAAAGACAATAAACAATATAAGTAATGCCAGATAACCTCAAAAATTGTTTTATTCAAACTATCTTCAATTAGAGGTATTTCAGGTTCTAAATTCTTATAAAATGCAACGAAAAATAATAACAACGAATATGTAAAATTAAATACGAAATCAAGTACTTACTGGAAGAAATATACTAGTATAATAAAAAGTGAAAGAAGTCCACTTTTAACGTGTCAAAGAAATGTGATCAAATGCAACCGATGGCAACCGATTTAAGTTCACTGATATTCGATACGCTTCTTAGCGATATGCAACCTTACTTGCCAACATAAAATTATTATATTTTTTAAACATTTTATATAGTGTTTCAATTAGTAGTAATATATATATAGATTTAATAAATTTGAACCACTAAAATATATTACAAATGAGCTAGTTTTTGGTTTTCAGATTTCTTACAAATTGGATCTCTGTTGGTAGTATGGCGTTTCCGTGACACTTAATTTGACAAACATTGACAAACCTCTTGACAGACAGTGACAGTTTTATTTATAAATTTTGTGAGCCGAATAACATATCGGCGATAAAATATACTTGGGCTATTCCTTTGGATGCTGCATAGATGACGTCTGGAAAAGATACAATGGGGTAACTTTATTAATTTCGGCCCCACTTTCATTCATCTTCCTACCCCTCAGGATTTCCTTCGCTATTACATTTCCTCGAAACCATCAAATGATATAGTACGACGATGTCGATGATCTTCTTTCCTGCATAGCCAGCTAAAAACAATACATTTATTATTGGATGCATTTTTATTGATGGCCACTCCCCCTTTTATCACTACTGCTCTCAAGGATTTCCTTTCATGCAACATTTAGCATTAACTACTTAATTGCTTTTTATTACAGTGAACAGCCAATTTTCACTTGCAAGGCTCATGTGTTCCATATTGACCCAAAAACAAAGAGATCATGGATGCCTGCATCCAGCACAGCAGTCAGTGTTTCATTTTTTTATGATTCATCTCGAAGCCTCTATAGGATAATCAGTGTTGAAGGTTCCAAGGCTGTTATCAATAGTACTGTAACACCTAATATGACTTTCACAAAAACCTCACAGAAATTTGGGCAGTGGTCTGATGTCAGGGCTAACACTGTATATGGTTTAGGTTTCTCCTCAGAAGCCGAATTGCAAAAGGTTAATTAACTGCTCATTTAATTTTCATTTTGCTCATAAATTTGCTTCAGTTTATAGATAAGTTTAATGAAGTAAAGGAAGCTACCAGAAGTGCCATAACAAAAGTGACCACAAATGGGGGGTCAGCAGTCACACCTGTTACAAGTGCCAATGCAAGTCCAATTACCGCCAGAGCTGCTACTGGAGCGTCAGATAATATTGATAATCTTTTAGAGCCTCCAGGTATTGTCTCATTTCAAGACAAACTTTTTTCATAAATAATTGAGTTTATATTTTGAAATTATCTGTTAGGAAGTGCAATGATGCCAGTAACGCCAAATTCGACCAAACCTGAAGATGAGATGACACAACATCCTCGGAGCCATTCTATTTCTGGAATGGGTTGCAACGAGAGCCCTAGTCACCAGAAGACGGGCAATATTTCCAATGAAAAGAGCCCGTATACGATGGCTTCATCAGGTGCAGCCACTCAGAACTCGAGCGATGTTCAGCTAAAATATGAGAACGACAGGTTGAAGCTGGCTTTAGCCCAAAGGTAAGGATGCTTGATCCATATAAAACTGTTTATTAAGTGCTACAAATCGAATTAACAAAACAAATATTTACAAAACAAAGGGCGCAAATTCTTATTTACAGGTGCATTTTTCAGAAATTCTAAACCGGATATTCACAATATTCACCAGTCTGGAATTTTGGTTTTAGTAATCATGTAAAATTGCATTTATAGGCTTAGTAGTGACCGCCATAATGACCGGATCCTTGTCCTCCGTGAGTTGGATGTCCCAATTTATGAACAACGGCGTTGAATCCGTTATGCTTATCAGCCTTATATTCAACCACTCTTGTGGTACCATCAGCTTCCTTCAGGGTATATGTTCCCTTGACCTGGTCGCCATCACGCTCTTCGTGGTGTTGCTTCTCATCTCCGGTATGCGGGTCGTGGACGGCATAATTGAATTTGTATTTAGGATGGTCCTAGTAAAAATATATTGCTTAAGCTATTATAATACTGCGTGTGATAGAAGTTGCTTACATGATAATCTTCATGTCCGTGCCCGGAGTCTCCACCTCCGTAACCACTGTCCAACCCTTGGCTCTCGTATCCACCTTCGTATCCTCCATGGATAATACCAGCATTGGCATAAACAGCCAAGGCGATCAAACAAACGACAACCTTGAATTAGATTATATATTAAAAACATTTATATTTGTTAAATCCAGAAACGATTGCACTCACTAAGTATTGGCTCATGTTTGTAATTTTTGTTGTTCACGTTATTGGTAGAGCTGAAGCTGTTGTATGTGTGATGTCTTCCGATCGGCCTGTTGGGGTTTTTATACTGATCTTTCCCACCCTATTGCCAGTGCGTGTGCCGCGCACATACTTAACTTTCACCCGCTATTTATTTTCGATATTTCTGCTTCGGAAGAGATCCTAAACAATGCTAAACAATTTGCTTTTAGTGATTTATCACATTAATTTATAATACTTTAATTCATTCCATAGATTTTCTATCAAAATAATCATCAAATGCAGTTTTTAGATCTATTTTATTACATTTTCTGATTATAATAGAAGGGACAGGGAACTTGTTAGACATATTACCCCCAAAATATATTCATTTACGCCGGCATTGGATATATTTTGGACACCCCGATGATCATCTAATCAATTATTAATAAAGCTAACAGATAGATTTTATTGTCAATTAATTACATTAATATCGCAGCGTTTCCAAAATATTTAAACCATTATGCTCGAGAATTTTACAATACCGTGCGAAATCGCTATAAACTTCGAGTGAAATCGTTCCGTGTGAATCACGAAAGTGTAAACGGAACGAAGCGATAATTGGGAGGATTGCGATCAAGGAATAAATAACAATAATGAACTGCAGCGGATGCAAATAAATGTATGCAAAAATTAATTGCGAATTTGTGCGAGAAATTGAGTAATGTTACGCGTCGCAAATGCGAATTATTGGTACAGGCCGACTTTATGTAACAATGGATAATGAGGAGAAGCAATATGAGCGTGTTTCGGTTTTCTTTTCATTCGCGGTACAATAATTGTTTGCTTAATGGAAGATGCGATGGAAATGGAGCGCAGAACCTCTACGGAAATAAAATGAAACGCAACAAAACGTGCAATTATTTTTCTCAATTTCTTTTTTCAGCTGTATTTACTTAAGATTAAGATTGAATAATTAGAGTATAAGAAACTTTCATTGAAAATATAAAGAAAATATATTTTCGTTAATGTTATATATTTTATTTCTTTCGCAGTTCAGCGAATGCCAAAAAATGGGAAATTGAATTAGCCACATTGAAGAACAATAATGCCCGTCTCACTAGTGCCCTCCAAGAGAGCACCGCCAATGTTGAAGAGTGGAAACGGCAACTGCATACGTATAAGGAGGAGAATGCTCGCATGAAAGCCAAATATCAGTCCGATTTAGAGAATAGTAAAGGTAATATACACATTAGTAAAATATTTTAAGAAAATGCCAGAAATTATCAATATAACAATACCTCGCATAGTACGGCGTCGATCAGTGCGGTTTCACTATATCAGTGGTCGTCAGCTCAAAATATCGAATCCTGCGAACCACCATGATTTATTTCATAAAACTAATATACTAAATATGAAATGATAATTTATTTTTACACTCCATGTAAAAAAATTGGCAAAAATTGCAAATATAGTCAAGTTACCAAAATTCTCTCGCGAACCAAAGATTGGCGACCGCAGGACTATAGTACGGTCCTTGATTTGTCCGGTTTCAAACAGTGCGGGATATTGGTGGAATACAATACCCGCACAATGCGGTAAAGCATTCTATTATAATATGTTAATGTGATGATGCAACAAAGTCTTCTACTTAAGATACAAGCTTTATAATAAAATCCATTCAACTAAGTACACTCCAACTGCAGACTGTCTTCATAATAACCACTAATTGCCAAGAACATATTTATCGATATCTCTGCAAATATTTGGTTTCGAACAGGAATGAAAACCACAAGACCAGGAAATACAGTGCTTATTCGATCGGCATCCGCCGTGTAAATTACAGAAATCAATGCGCCGTTTATGCATGGATTAAATGCAAATTCATGAATGACAGGTGGCTTCAATTAGTGTCAACCTAATTTTTCTCGTAATCGTGTTTCCAACAGATGCGACCTCCTCCCTCTTCTTGCAGTGTTGCGTAATCCTAGTTGTTTTATTATCTCTCATTTTCTTCATAAGTTTCTCTCTCTTTAAAAACTTGCACATATGGTCTATGGACATGCAAAATTTTTAAGTGAAAGCTTTGTATTATAGTTCGCTGTTTGTTGTTTAATATGATTGCTGTTCGAGGAACGAAATAGTAATAGAAAAAGAAAATACGTTATACTCATTTCCGGGGGCGGCTCTTCCAGGTGGGGGCGACATCGCTGATGAGTTACGCAAAGAAATCCAATCACTTCGTTTACGGGTCGAGCAGCTCGAGACTGAACTGGATGCAAAGAATCAAGAGATCAAGCAGATATCCTCGTCGCACAAGTACACCGATTTACAGGTAATAGTTTTATTTAAATATATTAATAAACAAGTTTCTATATTCATATATATATACCATTCTTATTGCTTTTTAATGAACGTACAATTTTTATATAAATAATAACAATTTTTTTATTATTATTTTTAATCCTCTTATATCATAGTTAATCAAATAAATATATGTATTATTATTAGTGTTAAATGCTTTTTGTAATAGCGGAATATCCTATTTTGTAGAGAGAAAATCAGGATCTACAGGCGTCGGCGAAATTGGCGCAAACCGAGTTGGACGTGGCTCTGGGCACTCACGAATCTCAACGGCAAGTATTGCATACTCTGAATCAGCAGCTGGCGACGCGCGTCCAAGAATTGGCCGCAATACACCACGAGATATCTACAGCTCTGCAAACGTGAGGTTTGACTAGTAGCTGGTATGCCTCCTATGTATAACCCAGAACCGAAAACGAAACAAGTAATGAATGAAACAAACAGCAAAAAAAATATTAAAAAACGACACACAAAATAACGATCATCTAAACAATAATACTACCTAACTAATGGATATTCAGTATTTACAAAATCAAATAAGGCAATGAGACGGGACGTTACGTGCAAATTTCTTAAATATTGGAAGAAAATCTTAGTTATTTTATAATTACGATTACTCGAATGCACAAATTTTATTGACTGATAGTATTCTGTATTCTTTATTTCTCAGCAGAACAAACAATATTGATGAATCTCATTTAGAAGTGCACATCTTTTGTAATGAATCTTACAAAGCAATGAGTATTATTTTATTTATTTATATACGTATATATTTATGAATGTATTTATTTTAATAGGTTATAGAAATTTGATTTTTTTTTTGGGGCAAAAACTTTCTTTGGATATAACGTATTTGTTATTGTTAGACAAACACTTGCTCTTAAACCTGTTATTCCGAGCGGATAAATTAAATTAAAAATGATAGTATCTGATAATATAATATTATATACATATATAAAGAAAGCACTTGTTGATAAGAAACAATTATTTTATTTCCCCTTTTTATTTTTATTATTTTCTTATGTATATAATATACATGTAATCACTATTATTGCATGGATTGGTATCAGATTTAAGGTTTATTGAAGTATTCCCACAATTATTATTACAATTTCAATGTTATTTTTATTTCATCTTATATATTATATGGAGATATATTGTATTTCGTAGATAGGTTAGTGAGCTGTACAATAAGCCAAAATACTGTTTACGTAAAAAGAAGAACTATAAAGATATTATGATTAGGAAGAAAAAAAAATAATCTATACATTATAAGTTAAGAGTAAACCATTTTTATGTTTTTGTTTACTGAAGTAAATTGGTTATTATTTATTAATTTACGTTTATTATTTTAAATAATGAAAAAATATATCTTGGATATAAAACTGGACTTAGCACAAGAGAAATGTTACAACTGCGTTATAAAAATATAATAAAACAAATGTGAAAGCAAATAATTAATTTATTGTTTTATTTTGCATTTAGTAAGTATAATCTCACCTTACAATATTTCATTAGTTTAACTAAAAGTTTCTTACCTATAACACCAATCAAGTTTCTATCTTGGTAAATTATTTTTTTTATCTCTAGGGCCCTATTTCTATTATACTTTATGTACCTATAGATCACATTTAAGTATATAGTTTATGCGAGTTTTTCTTACAATTAATTCCAAGAACCTAGATGTCACCTAAGTCTATTTCATAAAACAAATAGAAAGTGGAAAAAGCTATGGACTATACTTAATTAAAGTTGGTTGTCTAGAAATGTAGAAGAGTCATTTTATTTTTTTTTTATGAAAAGTGATGACTTTAGCAACTTATTGAACTTCTTCTCTTATCCTCTTGCGCATCTTGCATAATTTCGCCAGCCACTGCAACTTAATGAACATTTCATAAAATTCTATAACTCTTCAAAGTAGACAACCACATATACAACTTGATGCATGTGTAAACATTGCAACGGTTAATTTTTTCAATTGTCCGGGATTCTGCAAATTGGTGTTGTATTATAATATAACCAATGGTATTTGTGTTGTAAAAATGGATTCAAGTGGGTTCCTTAAAGTTAAAAATGATATAAAGAATAAATTACTTCAGCAAGGGCCGTTGGAGCACTGCGAAAGTGAACGCAAACAAGTTTTCAATTTATTACAAAGAACTATTGAGGATGGAGAATCGAATTCAGCTCTCCTGATAGGACCCAGAGGCTCTGGTAAAACAACTGCAAGTCTTGACATATCCTTGATTGATAATACAAGCTAAACTTTTATATATTTCAGTTAGTTAATGATGCTTTAGAAGAATTGTGTTCAGATAAGAATTTTGCATCAAAAGCAGTTCTTGTACATTTGCATGGACTGATACATACAGATGATAGGCTAGCATTGATTGCAGCTACAAAACAGATGAATCTGGATAATGCAGTAGATGGAAAGGTGTTTGGTAGCTTTGCAGAAAATCTGGCATTCCTCTTAGCTTGTTTGCGGACTGGCAACAAGAAAACTTCAAAGAGTGTACTTTTTATCATAGAAGATTTTGATTTATTTTGTTCACACCACAATCAAACACTCTTATACAATTTATTTGATATATCTCAATCTGCTCAAGCCCCTATTTGTGTATTGGGAATTACTTGTCGGCTGGATGTAATTGAGCTGCTTGAGAAGAGAGTGAAATCAAGGTTCTCTCATAGACAATATTTTTTGTATGCTGGTGGTGAAAATGCAGAAGTTGATGGTTTGAACTTAAGAATGGAGAAAATAAGAAATCTGTTAACTATAAATAATAATAAAAGTAATATAGTTAATAATTGGAATAAATCTGTCAGCAAATTATGTTCAGATAAGAAATTTAGAACATTGAATCAAAGATTGATGGACATTGATCTCAATGAGAGAACTCTAAAAAACGTTCTGCTCACACTGGTATCAAAATTAAAAGAGAAATCTTTGGAATTAAAAATCGAAGATTTTGAGACTGAACTAAATGAATTTGAAGCTGATGAAGTTATTGAGCAGCTGCATGATCTGAGTGTATTAGAGCTTTGCTTATTGATTTCAATGAAACATCACATACAGATTTACGATAATCAACCAATGAATTTTGAGATGGTTTACACGAGGTTCGTCAAATTTGCAAACGCTTCTTCACATATTCAAAACGTGCAGAGGCCAGTAGTAATGAAAGCTTTTGAGCACATTAAGGTACAATTGATATTAACTACATATTTTGATATTTCAACGTTCTATTTTCAGCATATGGAATTGATTCAAAATATTACAGGAGGCAGTGGAAGATTACAAAAGGAGTATCAAATGTTCAAGTTGTTGGTCACTTCAGATCAAATTATGGAGTCTGTAAAAGGCTGGCAGGGCTTACCAACTGAAGTTTCTCAATGGGCAATTAGTTCTTTGATATAAATGTAATAAAATTGAAATAATATTGTTGTTTACTTTTATATACAGAAATTTGATTAAAAAAATCTTAGTCTGAAATTCTGTGCTTTATACTAATTTGAAAGTATATCTACTTGCAAAAGCATCTTTGTTACAAATAACCTTTATACTTGTTATTCTTTGATTGGAATAAGTCCGTTTTATTTATGATAAATATAGCACAGAATCTGAATTATAATCGCTTTAGACTTTAACCTCTAGCATAGAAAAATAAATATTGAAATAAAAGTTGTTTAAATTTAATCATTTATAGAAAAGGTATCTAAATAACGTTGAGTTGAGGTTGAGTCTAAAGTTCTACTTACATATAGCCTATGTAGCATAGAGGGCACCAATGTTGTTTTGGTGGTGGGACTTGAATTGAATCTGGGTCCAAAGTCGACACGTCGAGTTCTATTTATTTATTATATGATTTAATTTTTACTTCGTTTTACGTGAAATCTCTTGAAAATGGCATCGTTGATGGCAAAGAACTTAATAAAAACACCTGGTCCCATCAAGCTGGCTTTGCAGCAAACAGGTAACTTATAATATACAGTTTATCAATTTAGCAAAAAAAAGTCGAAAGTCCAAAATGCTATGAATATATGCAATTTTAATAAAAACGTATATATTTCTAAATTATTTATTATTATTAGGTATCAGGTCTTTTTCTGTTGGGACTGAACGTAAAGCCAAAACTGTCTCAGATAAGACTGGTAAAAATATAGTTTTGGTTGATGGAGTCCGCACACCATTTTTAATGTCTGGTACAGACTACTCAAAGTTGATGCCACATGATTTAGCCAGACAAGCCTTGATGTAATATACATGAATGATTCTGATAACATTAAGTATAATTATATATGTTTTAGTGGAATTGCAAGAAAAACTGGCATTTCAAAAGATTTAATAGATTATATTATCTATGGCACTGTTATTCAAGAAGTGAAAACATCAAATATCGCGCGTGAAGCTGCTCTGGCTGCAGGATACAGTGACAAGATTCCTGCTCACACAGTCACTCTAGCATGTATTTCTTCTAATGTTGCTATAACAACTGGTAAATGATCTTAAATATAGGTATACATTCTTGATAAACTTTATGTTCTTAAATTTTAGGCATTGGTTACATAACTGCAGGAGTGTTTGATGTGATTTTGGCTGGTGGTGTTGAATTCATGTCTGATGTCCCAATTAGGCATAACAGACAAATGAGGAGTCTCATGTTACGCGCTAACAAAGCTAAAACACCAATGCAAAAGCTGCAACTTTTGTCTCAGCTAAGACCATCCCATTTTATCCCAGAAGTATGCATAATTTGAAAATGTTATTTGGAGCATTTCTTATATGACCATTTTATTTAGCTTCCAGCTGTTGCTGAATTCTCTTCTGGTGAAACTATGGGACATTCCGCTGATCGTTTGGCCGCTAGCTTCGGTGCTTCCCGCAAAGAGCAAGATGATTACGCATTGAGGTCACACACTTTGGCCAAACAGGCCTATGAAAATGGATATTTCACCGATATGTTGCCTTTCAAAGTAATGTGTATAACATTTTTTTTTATATTTCACCTTTCATATTGTATTATTTAGGCTCCAGGCGTTGATAAGACCATCGAAAAAGATAACGGAATTCGCGTTGCCACTTCCGAGCAATTGGCTAAATTAAAGCCTGCGTTCATTAAACCTCACGGTACTGTGACAGCTGCAAATTCTTCATTCTTGGTAAATTTTCAACAGTTCCATGATGTATCAAAACTAATTATGTTTTTTGGTAGACTGACGGAGCTTCTGCAGCTTTGATCATGACCGAAGCAAAGGCCAAGCAATTGGGTCTAAAGCCGAAAGCTTACTTGAGGGACTTCACATACGTGTCTCAAGATCCCATTGACCAATTGCTTTTGGGACCTGCCTACGGAACTCCAATTGTTCTTGAGAAAGCCGGTCTAACTACAAAGGATATTGATGTATGGGAGTTCCACGAGGCATTCGCTGGACAAATTATCGCTAACATGAAAGCCATGGACAGCGATTGGTTTGCCCAAAAGTATATGAATCGCAAGACCAAGGTGGGAGCACCTGACCTGAACAAATTCAATAATTGGGGTGGATCTCTTTCAATTGGTCATCCTTTCGCTGCCACAGGAGTCCGTTTAGCCATGCACACCGCTAACAGATTGGTCCGCGAAGACGGCAAATTTGGCTTAGTTGCTGCTTGCGCCGCAGGAGGACAGGTAATGATTACAAATTGAAAAGTTAAAGCAATACAGATAACACATTTTTATTATAGGGTGTTGCAATGATTCTTGAAAGACATCCAGATGCTGATGCGAATTAAACGTAAAGAAGTTTAATATTTAAAATAAGTTTTGTTTTTTTTACTTCTAGATTTTATATTATATTTTGTAAGAATATAAAATAAATATTTGTATATACTTGGTTTGTTAATTAATATTAGTCTGATACTTTTTATCTTACATGTCCTTGGATTTAAAATGATCTGGTGGATTTGTAGCTAACCATATTCACTACTTGAAATGCAACATAAATTCCTAATTCAAAACTGCTACTTCATACATTTTCGTGATTCTACAAATTTCTTCATTATTGATCCATAGAAACGTCTATATGAGAATGTTTAGATTTTGAATAAGCCAAATTAGTAAGTTGTATCATCATTATTCATTCCTTCGCCAACTAATCCTCCTTTAATTATATGCCGTTAACTTTGGAGTTATTCATTGTATCAACTTTCCATAGCTAAAATAGTAGAGAATTTACCGGGGAAATTTCCTCATCACTATTTTGTGCTGTTTAGTAATGAATCTATGAACGCAATTGTAAACAATGTAAATTAATTAGCGTGATTAATTGAAGGAATATTACGTGTATATATTATAGAGAAAAATCAATTAAAAAGAAGATTGCTTTTTTTTTGAAAAAGTGTTTTCTTCTCTTCCTATCATCTCACCTATTTACAGAGCATGCCTGTTACCCTGCAGGGTTTCCTCATAATTATATAAATTGTAAAAAAATCTTACAATCTACTTCAATTTAACAAAAAAGGATAAATAATTTCATATTGCTTTATATTACTATAAACATTTAAGTAATGTATTAGTTTTCATTTTATTGTTCTCGTATATTGAAAGCTTAATTAAATAGTAGTGATTTTATTAAATGCGAACAAAAGTGTAATGAGTGAAAAGATGATTTCATATATAAAAAAAACTTATTCCTGCATTTGGGCAGCCATGTTAGCGGGTCCGGCACCCTCTTTGTCACCCTTCTTCTTGGATCCAGAGACAATACCATCAATACGCAACAAAAGTATAGCTGTTTCGATGGCAGTCTTGAAAGTCTGCAGCTTAACAGCCAATGGTTCCCAAATACCATTACTATCCTTTTGCTCAACCAACTCCCCGGACTCTCCGTCGATACCCCAAGCGCATGGCTTGTTTTCCTCTTTGTGGGCGGCATGCTTAGCTCTTAATGCGGTCAAGGTGCGGATAGTGTTAGCTCCGCAGTTCTGCGCTAAAGTACGTGGGATGATTTCTAAAGCCTGGGCGATGGCTCTGTATGGGCCGTGGGTGGCCTTCTGCATGATTTTCTGAGACAACGCCATTTCGATGGCACCACCTCCTGGGACCAATCTAGGTTGAAGCATAATATTACGGGCGACCTGCAATGCGTCTTGAAGATTCCTTTCGGTCTCGTTTAAAATGTCCTTGCTCGCACCGCGAAGTAAGATGGTACAAGCTTTTGGATCTTTGCACTCAGTGATGTACGTGAAATATTCATCACCCAACTTCTTGACTTCAAACAAGCCACATCCAGTACCAACGTCAGATTCTTGCAATTCTTCGGTACGGTTGACAACAGTTGCTCCGCAGGCCCTGGCAATGCGGTTATTATCAGATTTACGAACGCGTCTAATGGCGGTGATTCCAGCCTTTAACAAGAAATGTTGTGCTAAATCACTAACACCCTTTTCGGTAAAAATAAGGTCCGGCTTCAACGCAATAATGTCATTGCATTGTCTTCTGACGTGTTCCTCTTCGAGTTCCAGCATTTTAGTGAAGTCGGTCTCGCCTGAGATCTCCACATTTGTCTGAGATTCACCCTTTTTGTATTCCAGTGTGCAATCCAACAGAATAATTCTAGGGTTTTCAATTCTCCTCTTCATCTTCGGATGCGTGACATCTTTATTAACCATGACACCTCTTAAAATCTTCGATTCGTCGATCGATCCTCCAGGGATCTTCTCAACTTTGGCGTACCTTTTGATATCAACTTCTGTGCGGCCGTTTTCGGTCAGCATTACAGTGTTTACAGCATCTAAAGCAATATTCACCGCCATATCTGCCCATTTCCCAATGAACTTGGTTCCAATGCATCCCTTAACGACATTAGCCAAGGCGCTCTTGTCGTTTTTATCAACTGGGATACTCAATGGTCCTTCAAGCAATGATATGATATCTTCAAGTGCTTGTCTGTATTGTCTGATGATTACAGTTGGATGCATCTGCTGTTCCAAAAACTGCTCTGCTGATGCCAAAATTTCGCCAGCCAAAACAATGACTGATGTTGTACCATCACCAACTTCCTCATCCTGAGTGCGCGCAATTTCAATCATGCTCTTGGCAGCTGGGTGCTGAACTGTGATTTCACGGAGAATAGCATTACCATCATTGGTCATGACAATACCTCCCATTGGGTCCATAAGCATTTTCAACATAGCCTGTGGGCCAAGGCATGTTCTGATGACATCGGCGATTTGCTAAAGAAAAAGAAAACGCGTGGGTTTCATTAATCACATAGAATAGGGTGAGGTCATGGGACATAACCTCGAAATACATAACGTAAAATTAACAAAGTAAATAAGAGTTTAAAGTTATGACTTGGTTTATTATGAAGTTGCAAATGTATTTATCGAATCTTGTCCAATTTTAATTGTTAGTTGGGCACGTGCTATATTACCTTTCCGGCATTGATGTTTTCCAGCTGAACTTTCCGGCCGGAATCACGTTTGGTATTCTGACCTATAATACCAATAATCATTACAATATTGTTCAGACCCACGAAAATATTCGATACTTACTCAAAACAAGAACGGGGGCCCTTCCTGGATACATTTTTGCTATTTTATATTTCTATCTTATTAAACTTCAACAAACGTGATCACAAATGTCAAAATTGCATCGGACTGAAGTTGGCTTCGAATATGGTAGAAGTTTTAACAGAATTGCCAATTGCATGACAAAATATAATTTAAATTTTCGATTTACAACGACTAATATAGAGAATTGACTGTCAACAATGTACATCTTTCGACCTCGATGAATGTACTGCTGCGGCTCAGAATGGAGAATGTTAATAAATGTAGATTGATTTTAAAAAAATCCTATTGTGTTATTTAAATATTTCACAAATTAGCAGGAGGTGCATTAAAAAAACAGGTGACAGATTTGAATCTCACCAAATGCATTATGTGCTTAATAATTACCGAATGGATGGCAGAAATAGGGTTGTAGAGATAAAAAAAAAACTAATATAGAAAGACTTAGAAATTGAATTGAAAGAATGTTAGATGGCGTTGATCACGTAATTCCAATAGTTAATCAACATATACGAAAGGTCGTCGGTTCAATTCCGAAAAACCAACAAAAATTTGTGGTGGCTGTTTAACCCGAAAGGGGTAGAAATAGGGCCGGAGAGATTTATATCAATAAATAAATTGATATAAATTTCTTTTTAAATTAATTAATCAACATATAAAGTAGATACATTTTATGTGGGTGACCTGCACTTTGATGAATGGGACACTCCAAGCAAATGAGACTTTAATACAAAATAAATGGATCCTTGTTTTGTGTACTATAAATAAATCATCAATACAAAATATGACTGAATTAGAATATTAACAGTAAAATGATGTATATATTATGTTAAATTTTATTAAATTAATATTAATTAAACAATAGTAGGTAACATAAAACACAATAGTTAAGAAGGAACATTTAAAATGTTAGAATACCACAGATAAAGTAATGAAAATATGTACACTTATATCTTATACATCAATCATCCTCTTGGCCAATCATCATATCATCATAATTATTGCTGTATCTTTGGTGGAACTTGTATTGGATAAGAGTAAATAGTCGATACTTGTAATTCAAATAAAATATAGTGATAGCAAGACAAATCAGAAATAATGAGAGGAAAACATATATAATAGCACTGCTACCTCCTTTATCCTCCACCACTACAGTACATACACTATTGACCCTCTCAAATCCATCCAAACAACTGCATTCCCCAGAATCTCTGGTTGTCTCACTGCATGATTCATTAATTCCACAATCCTCTAGTTTGTTCAATCGACATTCCTTAGCTAAAACCAAAATAGAACACATCAAAGCAATGCAATATCATGGTATATCAGTATTAGACTCACCCCAGCCAACCTGCAGGACAATCAAAAACAAAAGAAATATCTCATATAGTTTGCTTTGCATCTTGATTGTACTGGATCAAAACACTTACATCTTTAATTCATTCATATCATGGTAGACTTTTACATTGTCAACACGATGACAGCGTTATCATTTCAAGTGTTAGCGATGTTATAAATAAGAAAACGTTTGCTGGCACAATCCCTATATTAAATAATTGGACTCACAGCAACATCACATTATCAGTAATGCGCGCAGCAGAGGGGAGCTCCCCATTCATTCGCCTCAATTTACTTCAATAAATTCAATGGTCGAAAAAGAAACAAAAATTCTATTCAAATCCCCAAGACCTTGACAATGCTTGTAATATTTGACACTGACAGCTGATGGGAATCATGCGTTGACAATGGTATTGATTTTATAAAAAAATTCATTAACTTTGAACATGTTTATAAAAAATAGTGTATATAGACACCAATACTAAAATGTAAAAAGAAATATCATTCGGAACGGAGCAAATAATAATATGTACTTATTTTACTTTCCAAACTGGCTACGTGATTAAAGTCAGCGCCATCTGCTATCGCAACTGCGAAGTCGTCGTCATCCTGTTATTTAATAATGCAAAAAATGCATAATGCAAAATAGTACAAATCATGTTTAAAGTTGCGAATCGAAATCCTGTATAATCGGGAATAAGCATTAACCCCATCTTTAAGTTAACTCTAGTTTGCCATTCAAAATTGTGACAGTATCCATAATCACGGATTCACCTTCGGCCGATCTAACATTTGTTGTCAAAAAGGTTATACAAATTTCGTCAGATTTCGATTCGCAAGGGAAAAGGTCCTAAAAAAATTATCAAGTGTTGTTTTTTGTCAGTCACAAGGCCAGCCCCCAAAAACAACGTTAATGTTAATCTAAAAACCACCCCCCACTCCGTCCGCGCCACCACATAAAATGTTCTCACTGCAAAACCAAAATCAGGTAAGAAGATATAGATTCCTCTTGAATGAATTACATAAAACGATGAATTCATATTTAGGCTCTGCTTTCGCTGTCACAAGTGTCAGCGATTTTAACACCTCGTCAGAATGCTTTCTTCCAAAAGAAATCTGCGCGCAGCAAGAAACCCAAGTTTTTGTGCATCGAGAGCTTCCTTGAGACTGTCAAGAACTGTGACTATTCATTTAGCAAACATCTGAGTCCATCTCTGGTCTTCGATAATCACTTCCTTAACAAATTGAATGTGTCCTACATTTCATCAGATACCTTTTTTGAGAACAAGTATGGATTATCGGAAAGTGAAATAACACGTCCAAAAGTCCCTACACTGGTGATTAATAAGAACCACCCATTTCATCTTCCCAATGGCTTCTGCACCAGCTTCCTGTCCAGCATAACAAGTAAAAATGTTTTCACATTTGATGTGCAAGTTAGGGGTTTCAAGACTGATCGCAGTGTTCGTGCTGAACTGGACAGAAATCCAAGTTTACTTGCAAGGATCAAGAATATGTTTGGTTTAAATGAGATACCTGAAGTTAAAGCAGAGGCAAATACAGTGAGTGGAGAGAAATTAAATAAAATGTTGAGTGTTGAAGATCCTAACATGACAGATATGGAGAAACAGAGAATCAAAATTGCATTTGCAGAAGGTTACTTAGTAGGAAACAATCCAAAAATGAGCAAGGCAGCCAAGTACTTTAAAGTTGTCCAACAAGTATTAACAATTGCTATATTTTTGGCCATTGTTGTTAGTCTTCTAGCAAGTACAAGTGGATCAGTTTTCAGGTAAATATTGTCAGAGGGTTTCTATCTTTTGCTTTGATTATTAGTTACTGTCTTATAAGAATATATTTTTTGTGTAATAAAAAGAAGTTATTTAAGATAAATATAATCAAAGCATACAATGAATGATGACGAAACAATTCGTTATGAATTTAATAGACAACAAAAGTATTTTTTAACATTAGAAGGGCTTTTAGAATTCAATTGGGTAATCAGGTAGAGGTCGATCCTGAGGACATCCATGTAACGTTCGATGATGTAAAAGGGGCAGACGAAGCTAAACAGGAACTCAAAGATGTGGTGGAGTTTCTAAAGAGCCCACAGAAGTTCTCAACGTTGGGCGGAAAGTTACCAAAGGGTGTATTGTTGGTTGGCCCTCCAGGTGAATTGGTAATAAACAAGTGAATTCATTCATTGGTATTAATACACATTACATGCCTTCAGGTACAGGAAAAACTTTACTCGCTCGTGCCGTAGCTGGAGAAGCGGGAGTTCCATTCTTTCATGCTGCCGGTCCTGAATTTGACGAGGTTCTTGTAGGACAAGGTGCTAGGAGGGTTAGGGATTTGTTCAAAGCAGCAAAAGAGCGCGCGCCTTGTGTAATATTCATCGATGAAATTGACTCTGTTGGGGCGAAGAGGACTAACAGTGTTTTACATCCGTACGCTAATCAGACCATCAATCAGTTACTAAGTGAGATGGATGGCTTCCATCAAAATGAGGGAGTGATTGTATTAGGAGCAACAAATCGTAGAGATGATTTAGATCAAGCACTTCTACGTCCTGGTCGTTTTGACGTTGAGGTAAGAAATTATCTATGTGACATTTATGTCATTCATTTGTTGGTAGAATTTTTTGTGTCCAATTACTATTTTAAATTAAGTGTGTTTTGATTTGTCATATTTTATAATTTGTCAAAATGAAAAAGAAAGATTCTACTAAGAAAAGCAAGAGTAAAAGTAGCGGTGTTAAAAGTAACAAAAAGGATACGAAAGCGTCATCTGCAAGTTTTGGAGTCGATGTATTAACTGCCGATCAACTAACTGTAATACATTTATTAGCAAGTTACGATTTGGAAGTCGTTAGGAAAGCAATAGAATCTATATACTCATACTGCAATATAAATCCAGCGATTCTGTTAACATTTTGCGAACGTGGGATTTGGACAAATCTAGAGAAACTGCTCACATTGAAAGATAATGATATATTAGAAATGTCGCTATCCCTAATACGGAATATTCTAAATCTCACAAGTTTCCAATTAATCATGTTAGATGAAGCGAAAACCGTTTTTACCAAATTCATAAATATTTACTTGAATTTTGAAAACCCAGATTTACTAACGGTATGTTCAGAAGTAATGATTAAGCTGTTGGATATTCACAAAGAAATAATTCCCTATGTCTTCGAAAAACTACTTTTAAATCGAACTTTGGCTATAGTGAAAAATAAGCCTGGAGATGAAGTAAAATCAAACGCTATGAGGCTCATGAGTGCATTTATCGATGAACGTGAACATAGTCGAGTTCTAGTAGATTTGCCAAATTTTCAAAGTAATCTCTACGTATGCTTTGTGAAAGATAATAACATCCTTTTGCAGAAACCTGCCATGGATTTTTTGATAAAAATATCGTCTTTCAAAGATCCTGAACTTCTGAGGTCGCTATTTAACAATAATGTTCCACATTTGTTAATTGATTTGCTGGCTGAAGAAAAGTTCATTAATATATATTTTGATGTTATATATTTGAACAGTCTGATTTTGGATAACTTTCAGAATTGTTTGGAATTTGTCGAATCTGTACAGTTTCCTCTATTGTTGAGTTTTGTTAAACATTCTGATGAAACGTTCGAATTACGTTACGTTCAACTACTGAGTATCTTCTCGAAATTTCCCGACAAGGAATATCGTCAGAAATTACACACATATGGTTTTGAAAGCGTGATACTGATATTATTTGAGACCAAATCTGAAGAAGTTTTGCAAGAAATTTGTAAAATATTCATTAATTTAAGTGATCATACTTATGGACTGGAATATTTACTACAGGAATGGGTGTTGGATAGATTGATTGCACTATTAGAAAGCAAAACTCTGTCATTAGTGGAAGCCGTGATCTCTGTGATACATTGTTTCCTCAAGAAAAATGAAAATGCTTTCGATTTGTTTTATGAACGTAGAGGTGTATCTGTTTTGATTGAGATTTTTATGAACAGCGAAGAAATTTTAGAACCTCCGATATACGAAAAAGTAATGGACGTGTTGCAAATTTATCTCACTCATCCTAAATACCGAGAAAATTTGATAGAAAGAAGTTTATTCATTAAGGTGATCAGGATATATGAATCGTCTTCAGTAAATTGCGCTTTAAAAGCAAGTTATATTCTGAACAACAGTTTCCTCGACCGCGATTGTAGAAATGCTTTTTTGGAATTGAATGGTTTTAACATTTTACTGGAAAAGTTAGACGATTCTACAGATAAACAGCTCTTCAAAAATACTTTGATGATCATTAAAACTTTGGTCGTGTACAAGAGAATGTCACAAGTTTTCCTGATGAATGGATTAATTCCTGCTCTCAAGAAATATGAAGATGATTTTATATGTGCCACATTGATTTTGAAAATGATATGCGAGCTCTTTTTACCATTGAAATTTCATAAATATAATAGGCTTGAAGTTACTGACAGTATTAAAGATAATTTCTATTTGATTAATGGCTCTTGGAATGAGCAGTTTCCGCTTTTAGAAGATTTGGAGTTGCAAAGAAAATCTACACGAGTTACGATTTACTATGTAGATTATAGTTATACCAAAGCAATTAAAAATCGGCTAAAGGCTTTTGAGAATAGGAATATCGGGGAAGGATCAATAAACAGTTTCGAGGCTCCTAAGAATAAGACGGTGGTTGCCAATGTTAATTTTGGAGGTTTAACTGAAGATCCTTATCTTTATGATTATTTTGTTGAATTGGAAGAGATGATGAGTGAAGATGACTATTCGATGGAGGATAAAGTGAAACTGATTGCTACCTATGTGGCGGATCAAATGTCCGGATTTCCAGTTCCGAACTTAGGAGAGCCAAAACACATATTTAAAATCCATTTGGATCATCTGAAACAACGCTTGGGTACAAATATGATACCTATAGGATTTCTTAGGATGGGATACAGCTGCGAGCGGGCGTTGCTGTTCAAAGTATTAGCGGATCGCTTTAATATTTATAATGCATTTTCTAGGAATGCTCGATACTATTGGAACGAAGTTGCTTTAGTTTCTGATATTGCTAAGAAAGTTGTATATTGTGTAGTGGATTTATTTAGAAATATCGGGGAAATGTATGTGATTAATGAAAGGGATGCTATTGACTATTATGATTATTTAGATAATTTGTGGCATTAAATGTATTTTGTTTTTGATGAATATATGTACTTTTAATTAGGTGAGCGTTCCAACGCCTGATTACACAGGCAGAAAGGAAATTCTGGGTCTATATTTGAGTAAAATTTTGGCTAAAGGAATCGATGTAGAATTACTAGCACGGGGAACGACTGGTTTCACGGGAGCAGATCTAGAAAATATGGTGAATCAAGCAGCACTCAGGTAGAATTGATTGGTTTATTTCACTGTTTATTTTAGTAAATACTTATGTTTGCGCTTCAGAGCTGCTATTGAAGGGGCGGATTGCGTAAGCATGAAATATCTTGAGTCTGCCAGAGATAAAGTACTGATGGGACCAGAACGTAAATCGAGAATACCTGATGAGGAGGCAAATCAGATAACTGCATACCATGAGGGAGGACATGCCATCGTTGCTTATTTCACAAAAGACAGTCATCCACTACATAAGGTTACTATAATACCGAGGGGACCAAGCCTCGGACACACTGCCTACATTCCAGAGAAGGAGAGATATCATGTAACCAAATGCCAAATGCTTGCGATGATGGACACCATGATGGGTGGAAGGGCTGCAGAAGAACTCGTATTTGGTCCTGATAAAATCACTTCAGGTAATTTATATTCTTTCAATATTTAGCTAATCATTTACTTTTAGAGTATAGGTAACAGCTTACATATTTTAGGTGCTAGCTCTGATTTAAAACAAGCAACTTCAATTGCCACCCATATGGTTAAAGACTGGGGAATGTCGGAGAAAGTTGGGCTGCGAACTTTGCCAGACAATAAAACATTCACAAGCGGTGACACTTTGGGACCTTCTACAAACGAAATGGTTTGAAACTTGTCAATCATTTTAGATACCATCTAACTTACCGAATATAATTTCAGATCGACTTGGAAATTAAGAAAATTTTATCGGATAGCTACGAGCGCGCCAAGCTGATCCTGAAGACTCACGCGAAAGAACATAAGGCACTGGCTGAAGCACTGCTTAAATACGAGACTTTAGATGCGGAGGATATAAAAGCAATAATGTCGGACAAGTCACCGAATATAGATTTGAAGTCGTAATACTATGTAACTTCCTTTCTTTTTTTTCTTAAAGGCGAGATTTTTTTCTTATTTTTTTTTGCTGTTTCTCCTAGTTTAAAAATCGTTTGAAATAATATATAAATATCTATTGATTTTATTAGTGCTTTTTGGTGTGCCGGCCGAAAGTGACTTAGTAGTTATAGAAATAATATCACGTACTTCTTTGCATACATAAACAAGGCGCATGTACAGCGGCTAATTAAGTCAGTACAAAAAGATTTATCAGTTTTATTGATTATAAATATAAAATTATACAATGTGTAGTCGATTTATAAAGATGACTTGAGAATAAAAGTGTAAGCTTCAAATGTGATTAAATGGTTAATAACAATGATACACGAGGTATATAACAATAAATTCGAATGATTAGTTATATAAAAAAAATAACTAAATAGTGTTGATGATCTAGAGATTTCGATCACGGTATAAATAAAAGATTTTCTGTATAAATAATTTAATTAAAGAAAAGCAAACAGATGAAGTATTTTTTCAGTTTATGGTTAGCATAAAACATTTTGATTGTCCACTGCTGTAATTAATTTATTCTGTAAACTCAATCACAATGTTAATAATAATTAACTATAGTCTACCGCGTCCTATCGAACGATAGGTTGTCTTCCTCGATTATAATTAGCTGACGAGAAGCATTTGATAGAACACAGGTAGCATTCCATAGGTACATAGAAAATTCCAGCAGCAGAGACACTTATATTTTTTGATACACTACTCAGGGAGAGCATATGTGGGTGTTTAATGAACTGATCGAAACACGCTTTACCACATACACAGTACTTTGCCAAGTCAAGCCACTTTATAACAGTCAAAGGCAGTGTTTCACAGTTATAACTAAGCCTGGCAAATAAAACTCTTTTGGCAGCATATTCCTTTAATGTACAAACTGGCAAGGGCTTTGGGAATATAGCAGCTGGATTATTCTGTTCAGCATCATGGAAATTATTGTGGGATAGGTCCAGCTCCTCCAACCTCCATTTCTTCACACTGCCTGGCAAAGATGATAACTGATTGCTACCAGCAGTCAAAATTCGTAGACTCCTTAAGTTTCCAATACCAGATGGCAATACAGTTAATTCATTATTATCTAAACTTAATGATACTAAAGAATATAATTTAACTATTTGATTTGGAACATATTTCATATGGTTGTTACAAAGTTTGAGGCATTTCAGTGATTTTGAAAGGTTACCTCCCATCCAGTCCCATTTCCTTGGCGCAGATTTACCAAATTCATTAGAATTGAGGTTCAACTCCTGCAAATTGGATAGCTTGTTGATTTCCTCTGGCAGAAACTCAATTAAATTATCACTTATATCTAGAGTCCTCAGTCTAACCAATAGCAGTACACTGCGGTTCAGGCTACATCTTTTTAGCCCACTCATATGTAATATCTCCAGACTCCTTGGTAGACCTTTTGATGCATAATCTGATGATTTCATCACAACAAGTTTCTTTGGAGCTACATCATTTGCATTGATTGCCGTCACTGACATACTAGATATCATAAACTCCTGAGCACTCACTTTGTTCTCAAGCACTTTCTTCAAAAGCAGAAGGAAACTCTTTATCTGGATTGTCTCTGCCTGTATGCAGAGATCATGCTCTGGTTTCTTCAACTGTATTGTCACTTTGCCTTCTGACACAAATCTATTTAGCACCTTGAGAATGTTGTTCTTGATATCGTATTTTGTACCATTCTTATTTTGCGCTGAGAATAGAATAAAACAGAACTCCCCAGACTTTGGGTGCTTACATAAAGCCAGAGTGGATTTAACATGTTTTCTTTTCAACGTTACCGGAGCATTGGCGAAACTGCGATTCACTAAACATACAGTACAAATCAGACGCATTGTATTGATTTTCCTTCAGTTCACTTTTTGATCTCCTAAGCACGACACGACAAACCTCTACCAAGATGGATTAAAATTGGTACAATTTCTGTACTGTCATCAAGTATTAGACAAACTTGAATTCTTCAATTTAATAGAATTATTATTCAGAACGAAACCCACCACAACTTGAATTGACTTGAATGAAGATAAAGGTGGAGAATTACCGTAACTTGTTTATATATTAATCAGTGTTGCCATGTTTTGCTTACAATTATAATTTGTTTAGTGAATAATATTAAAACCTTTGTAACATTTATTCTTTTCTTTTACTATTATTAATGTTGTGAATAAAAATGTTTAATTTTATTTTGACTGTTACAATAAAGATTATTATTATTTATTTATTATTATTTAATATTAAAAATATTATTTATAAAATAAATTATTTTATTCTCTATAATTATAATCTATTGAGTAAATATAACTTTACGTTGTTTAATCATTTTTCAGTTATATCTTTATAGAATTAAATTTGCAGCCTTTGGCAACCATGGAGATGTCAACCAACAGCAACGCTTTGTTTTGTTTGGAGTGCATCTGACATAGGGGGTACTAAAACTTTGTTGGTACAGTGCGAAATAACAAAAGCAATAAATAAGTAATTAAAAGCGGGAATAGTGTTTGCAGTACAAATCGCCATGTATATGGATAACGTATTTAATGAGTCTTCTACAATGTAAAATGCCATTAAGAGTCGCTTGTAAACAGAGTTAAAGAGAGGGCGCAAAATAACCGATTTTTACGGAGACGCTCGCTGCTCGCTGACAATTCCAACATGGCGGGTATGTGTGTGAAAATGCAAAGCGATTTTCGCTGAATTTTCTAGGTTCTAAAGCAACGTCTTTTGTTCTAGATCTCTTCATCAAGGTTAATTGCACCTATTGCCAAGAAGAAATCAATGGAGTAGGTGTAAAATGCGCCGAATGCGTCGATTTCGATATCTGTCTACAGGTAACAACCGATCACGTGACTTTCTTGTTTTGGGCGCGAAATTTTCAAAAATTAATGTATCTTGCTTTTATAATAGTCAATATTAATATATTTTTATGATTTCAGTGTTTCTCTAGCGGTGCCGAAATAGGACCGCACAAAAATGATCACTCCTACAGTCTTGTGGTGAGTTTAAATATTAGTAATTGACAATATACATTGATTGGCATAAATATTTTGAATCTTTTTAGGATCACTGTGCTGTCAGTTTGTTTGGTGGAAAAGGAAATTGGACTGGTAGAGAGGAGCTGCAGCTACTTGATGCAATGGAATTATTCGGATTTGAGAATTGGGACTGTGTCAGTAGACATATGAAAACAAGGACACCTGAAGGTTTGTCATTTTTTCAATGCACATATGCTTTAACAAACTCCTATTAACAATACCACAAAAATCTAAAATTAATCTTAATATATTTTTTAAATCTGAAATTAGATGCTACTTAGCATTAATGAATGGTAGTTATTAAATACATATGAATGTCTATAGTTTTGCCAGTGGCGAATTAAGCACCCGCGGCGCAATTTAATTGTGAGGCCCTTCTAAATATTTCCAATTCAAATATTATTTAGTTAAAAAAATGTATCCGTTTTTGAAGAGCAGACTTTTCTACAAGTTTTCATCCTTCTATTTACACGGTGGATAGGTTACTGAGAAAAACGTTTAAATCGATTATTTTTAACATTTACTTATTAATTAACTATAAATCAGAAAACATGTAAATCGAGTACCGCGTAAAACAAAGGATAGGTGTATACATAATTGTTATATCTTAACTAATTAAACTATTTAAAATTTTTATTTTAATAATATATATTAACATTAATTTAAAATGATTATTGATGTTTTTTAATATTGCAGAGGTGAAAGAAGCATACATCAGTAGATATTTTGATGGTACTATAGGAAAGGTGACGTGGAATGAAATAGGTGACTGTCGACCTGTGTTACCTGAACATACGCAACAGGATCGTGGTCCTCTGTCACCAGAAGTTACATCAAAATTGCCACCTTTGGATGCGACTCCAGAGGAAGCTCGACAGCTGGGTTACATGTCTCATAGGGATGACTTTGAGAGGGAGTACGATGCTGAAGCAGAGCAGTTAGTTTCGTCGCTTCAACTCAAAATGAACGAAGACAGTGATATCGAGAACGTACTAAAACTGGCGCAGATCGACATGTATACGAGGAGATTGCGAGAGAGGTGTAGGCGGAAACGATTAGTGAGAGATTATCAGTTGGTAGCAGAGTTCTTCTCTAACCAGCGCAAAGATTCAATGAAGAAAGCATTAACCAAAGAGCAAAAGTAAGATATATTATGCATTTTTTGTAGCATATATATAATCTACATTTTAAATATTATCTACAACCCTCAGCGTTTGAATGTGAATAACTAGCAAAAGTTATATTAGAAATGGTTTCATTGAGAATTGAAATTGCAGGGATTTACGTGATAATATGCGGGTCTTCAGTCAGTTTTTAACGTCCGGGGAACACAGTCGATTGATAGCCAGCATCGAAAGGGAGAGAGAATTGAGGCATAGATTGTCAGAATTACTGCGTTATAGGGGTTTGGGTTTGACCTCTCAGGAAGAGATTGTCCACTATGAGCAACATGCAGCTTGTCAGAGACAACAGACCAAAGCTGTAAGTATAGGAGAAAAGTTGTTGGTTGTCTAAAACGCGAAGGAAGATTACGGATTGTATCAGTTTGCATTTTACTTAGGGCAGCAGTGGCTTCGGATTGGCAATGCAGGAATCCCAATCAGAGACCGAGTAAGTGATCGGATTCCGTCCGATGGTGTGTATTTTTGTACAAAGTAGAGCAAATGTGTGTGTTGTATCCAGAAAAAACGAATTCGAAAGAAACTGCATCACCGACGACTCAATGGAGTTGGAAACAGGCGAAGACGGAGGCGACGACCACAACAGCAGCAATCTTGCCAACAGCAGTCAGTCGGATAACATTCAATGTACCTCCTCAAACAATACCCTACCGCTTGGGACCATTCAATCCACACACGACACTCAGGTAATCATTTCATTGCAATTTTTCAGATCACGTATACTTAACAATTGCATTTTTTCAATTAGTGTACTGTTGTACATACAAACAAACTTAGCTTATTAATATGTGCATTTCTTTTAGCTTTGCACATCTCTCAATCTGCAACCTCTCCAATATCGGCCATTGAAACCCTCGTATAGGTAGGATGTGAATAATAATAATAATTCTTAATTAAGATTTGATTTGATCCTGCAGGACAACCACGTATTATCCGATGGTAAAATTCGAGTGATATATTTTTATTTGTTTCATAATTTATTTTATTCCCTATGCTTCGGCTAAGATGTGATGGAGATTTGTTACCCATGTTCTCTTGTTGCTTAATAGATATTTTTTTATTTTTTATTATATTTATTCAGCGTGTAAATATTTTTATTTTACAAGACGAGAGATAGGCAAAGACAAGCAGAGAAATATTTGTATATCTTATTTTAAGAGGTAAATATTATGTGAAGAGAAGATATTTTTCGAGTTATACCAGATTGTACAAAGTTACTGTGTATATTGATATATAATTTATTTAGTGTTTAGTTGAAGAATCAGATTTATGTAGTTCTGGAGCACATCTAAGACAAAAAGATATAAATATATATATTTGAAAGTAAAACATGGAAAGATATAAGTAAATACAGACATCTTTGTAAATATTTTATTTTTCTAGCTACTTAAAAAACACTTGCAATTTAAGGGCCTTAATATGCAATTAATTTATGGATACATTTTTTGTATATTTTACGTGGTATAGATCAAGAAACGTTTTTGATGGTCTCCTAGAATCATGTTATTTTTATTATTTACAACATAATATTAAAAGAAAAAGTGGATACTGCAGATATATTTTTGTATGTTCATCTCAATTAGAATTATTTTTGTTTTGTAAATACAGAGAGAAAATATTTAGAGACTGACAATGTTTGATTAATTAAATTATCTATTATTTTTCCCTTCACTCCTTATTCCACTTCATATTCAATTTTCAAAACGAATAATGTAAAATCTAACCCGTCTGGTATTTCTATTGAAAGTAGATTTTTTAGTTGTAGCGGTAACAAATATAAGCATTATATAATAAAAAGCTACTATACATTTCTCATTAAATGGATTTTATTTTTACTTATTCAACAGACACAAATTATAGATTTTTTTTAAAGCAAACATTATTAATTAAAAATGTCATGAGTAATAATGATTATTATTATTATCTATAATTAAATACAGGAACAGTTTACACTAATTTGTTACCAATTCCAACCAGTGGACTAGATTTTGCGTACTCTGCTAAAAATGTATATTCGTTTAGAAGTTATTCAATGTTAATGCATAACAAATCATCTCGAAATATATTAATATATGTTTTTGTTTGTTTAATAAATATAGAGTAAGAAAATATATATTCATATAATTATGTTTTAATACTAAAAAATATATGATCACATTTTTTAAATTAGTTTAAAAGATTTGAAATAGTTTTTCAATCATTTTATATTAAAGCAATTTTGCTCGATTTGAATTAATGAAGTGATTTAAAACGAATATTTATATAGTTTTAAGATATCAATATGTTAAATTACGCAAAGTTAACTTAAACTCTTCTATTAATATAAAGGTCCAGTCCATAGTATCGTTCCATGTCGGCTCCACAGGTTTCATCTGCGGCCCACAGGTTTTGGAGCTCCAGGTTTTGGCTTGTTGAAGGAGTAATTAGCACACTTTGGTATGTGTCTATCTGCTGCCGTCTGGTTGAACCTTCTTCCACAGTGTGGGCACTGCACATAATCGGGATTGGACGATGGCGGAGGGGGTGGTAAATCGCGGATGTTGCCGCCCTTGGCAATGTGCGCTTGAGCTTGTTTTGCCGCCCTGATCGCACTTATGAACTCTTCGTGTTTTTGTCTCCAGTTACTTTTGGAACTTGATGGTTTCACCTGACAAAAATAAAAGAAACGTAAGTACGCAAATAAACAACAAAATAATAGCAACGTTTATTGAAAACGATAACAATATGTTCTTATGATTTTTAATTGAAACATTGTAATTGTAAATGATATCGTTTTCAATTGTTGCGCAGCAAGTGGAGTAAATTTCTCTTCAGTCTCGATTTATTCTTAAATACCTGTTTGGATTTAATAGGTTTACTACTAGAGATGTTTTCGGTTGTCACTGTGGCCTATTGCGTACATAAATAAATAAATTATATAATTTGATTATAGAAATTATGAAATGTGAAAATAGTGTCCAAAATGTTACTGACTCTGCTGCTTGTCTTGGGTGCTCGTCTGGCGTACGGTTCCAACTCGGTGCCGGTGAGCCTGTGCTTGGTCGCATCGTATGCCTTCCGCTTCTTCTTGCCTGTCCTGGCACAGATGTCTTCGTGTGTCTGTATGCGATCGCTGGCGAACCTCCTCTGGCAATAACGGCATCCGGTGAGATCGTCTCTCTGAACCGCCGATGCTTTGGTCGTCTGCCTCGTCGAAGAAGGTCTCACTGCTGCAGGTGCCCTGTCTCCTCCAGGCTATTAATTAACATTAATAGTTATTACAAAGGACCATTGAAAATAATTTTATGTTTATTCAAACCTGTGGTTTCTTTGCGCTCATCTTTGGTTTTGACGGGGAGTTGGGCAGGCTGCCCGTTCGTGAGGGAGTTTTCAACGGGGCCGGAGTGCTCTTCACGAGTGGCTGCAAAATGTAAAGAACAAACGGGTAAAAACACATTCACAGAGAATGTGTCGGCAAAGACTTTGGTGAAGCTCGAACCCAGGAAGTGGCTCAAGATTTCCGGGTTGTCCAGAGCCTCTAAGACCTCATTGAAGTGCTGTTGAAGCATTTTCTGGCCTCGAACATTCTCAGCCCCAAGAGGGATCACGAACACGCGTAAATTTTGAAAGTTGAAACTGATATTTTCATTGACAGTTCCATTATTTTGTTTTGTGGAAACAAGCAAACTGTGATGATACCTTTTTCATGATGGTCTTCGGTTTCACTGTCGTTTTCGCAGTTGGTTGGGGAGGTTTCTTTTTGGGAGCTGCTACCTGACTCGGTAACTTTCCGCCGACGTTGGCCAGCTTCCCAGTGACTATTGTTGGTTCTTCAAATTCATCAAATCCTATTTGAGGTAGTTCTTCATCATCCAGTTTATCCTCTAGATTATGATTGTTCATCATATCTACGATATCTTTGTGTTCTTCTAAATAAGTTTCGGCTTCATCCAATAATATAACATTGTTGTTCTCTTTCATCGCCGTGACCGCTGCTTTTTTTGTAACATTCCTTTGAACAGCAGTTGACGTCGTTATCGTGGATGACTTCTTCACGGTGTTTGTCCTATTTGTTTTCAATGGCTCCAGTGGGTAACTCTTGTCAATTCCCGCTTTCTGCCTTCTCTCGTCAAACATTTGCCTGACTTTTCCTGCGGCTAAGGTCGTCGTGCCATTATTACCAGCGCTTCCTCGGCCGACTCTTTCAAATGCTCTCTGCTGCTGATTCTCGTACAACTTCAGTAATTTCTCTTCTTTCTCTTGCATCTGTTTTTGTTGGAACCTTGCCTAAAACCAAAGAAACAGTTAAATTAGAACTTTATGCAAACCATCGAAAAGCTACATCCAAACGGGACTGCCTTAATGCGTCTTCAAGGCTCTTTGCCGCCCAAGAGTTCTGCAGATCAATAGAAACCACTGAGTTCCAACTAGAAGATAAGTATTTATTCATCTTCAGGCTTGAATGACGACTAACTTCCACTTTAAATATTCTACATTACAAACATTACCGCGCCAACACGCAATATCGATAATCACCCTGGCTGGCTAAAACAAGTGACATGCGTTGATCGGTTGCCCAGGTTACGTATATCTAATTTCAACAAAAGGATCTTTGTTGTAATTAAACTATTTTCAGTCATATTACTTTTGTAAAAGAATCCTCCCCGTCATTAAAATTACAACTTTCGTGCTATCACCTTCGTTTGTGATCACGATTAATTATTGAGAAGACTATTAATAAATTGATAAAGAAATTCAGTTAGTCGTCCCATTTAAATTGTATATATAAAAACTATTGATAAAAAATCGATTGCTATTAAATATTTTAAATTGTTCTGGTCATCAACTACAAGTTGTATCTCCTTTATTTATACGATTTAATTATTTGTATTATTTTAATCTAAGATTATTTAATTCATATTAATGTTCATAACAAGGACTTTTTTAAGTCGGATGTTTCTTTACGAATGATTTAGCTTAAGTGGAAACAATTGGGCGTGAAATGAATTGCGCTGCGAGGGCATTGTTTCCTACTGTTTCGTTGTTGTAAATTACCAGGTGACATCAGTGAAAAGCAAAGGCAAATCCTTTTCGGCGTTACGCAATATGACTAAAAAAGGACGTTGTATCTGGGAGGTTAGCCATGAGTCAGAACTCACGTGGGCGGAAAAGGCGTTCGAAATTTAGCTTACTGATTTTCTTCCATAATTCCTATCGATGCATTTTGCTATATGACAGTTATAAGTCTTCACGAAAAAAGAAGTGGACTTCCATCTTAGTTTTACAGAAGAATCTTCCATAAAAAAATACATAAATATAGTACAAAAAAAACAGCAATATAGCAACACAAGGTATGGAGGTATAACAGTATTTTCGTCGTGCAATCAAAATCATGGCTACCAGCATGTTTGAAATTTGATTATTGCTATATGTTCAGTTCTTTTATAACTGTGCATTTAGTTCAAATAGTTAAAATAATAATAAACATATTATAATTGCAAATGATTATTGTTTTCTAGTGAAAAAGGTGTTAACAGAAAACAAATATGAAAACTAGTTAATATTAATACAAATTTTTGTTGTTTTAAATTTAAATATAAAATCTTTAAAATTACAGGTACAACCCCGAACATGGTTAACTTAGTAGTATTTGTTGCATGTACTTAAAAATAAATTAATTATATATATAAACAGTTTCAAGATCGAGATCTACTAAACTTATTTATTATATAAAAGAATGCGATTAAGATCAATATTTGTGTGGGTATTCGAACCAAAGGTAAACAGACAAAGAAACGATTACGACGAAAAGAAAGGAATAATATGAAGGAACGAATTGAAAATCCCACATATCACCTTGCGATAATGAAACGAAACACGTTTTAGAAAACGAAAGCAATGGGATAATTATTCTCTCGGTCATACTCACTTGCATTTGCGACAATCTGGAAGTCATCGTGGATGTAGAATTTAAAAAGAAATGGAATTAAACAAGATAATCGCTCTTTGAGAGGAGTCAATTGCACATCGTCAATATCTGGAAAAAAAATAGACAGGTATTTATTTTCTTTCAAGGATGCAAAGATCTAATTAGGATAATTCATGATAGATACATGTTTGGTATATAGATTTTTTCATTATACGACAATCATTTACAATTTTCATACATATGTATATACATTTTCTTAAAAAAAGAACTTGCATACCATAGCATGCATGTAAACGTGAACTCTGGAACTTATTCATTTGGCACAATTCGGCACTGAAGAGGATCGACTTATTTTGCACAAAATTTAACAGGTTGTCTTCGATTAATGTTTATTCAATGTCGAATGTGCGAGAATAAATTAAAGTTTATCGATGATGTGATGTTATCAACCAGTTGTCGTACCATGAGTAAGCCCACGATGACTCAGACACGAGGCTAGACCAAGGTTGAAGAACGAGCCTACTCAGATTTGGAAACAGCACGCGTCTTCATCCACTTGTATAACTCGCTTTGCAATCGGGACTAATTAATTGTAATTTCAATGTGTGTGAGCGTTTTGTGGAAATTATTGTGATACATTTATTTAGATTTATTGAGAAAGTTGTCTACACCGAATAAGGATGAGGTCAATTTACCACTAGTCCTCACCTCACCAATAACAATTCCTTTGGCAAGATTATTATAAATGTATTACAGTGTGAATTAAATTGATACAAAATGAAATATTTGCAACTAATCATTAATTTAATCAAACTTTAATGATTGGATGAAAAGAATATAGGACAGTTGCCATTAAATTCTGGGACAGGTGAACAAACGCACATGCGAACGATGTTCCCAACTGTCACGAGTTATAGATTATTTCGTATTCATTTAAAAAATAAGTAAAAGTGCTTTGTAGTAAATATTATTGATAAAATAGTTTACGTGGATTGGTAACCACTAGACTACATATTAAAGAAAAAAACAAAAAAATGTCAACAAATATTATATACACTTATCAAATTTCGCAAAACATCTGATCTTCTGTTACAATTGGATGATTGTTCTTAATTGCATTTAATGATTGCAATTTGAAGAATTAGATGATTGCGCAGAACTTGAAAGTGTATTTGCAGCATTCTTTTGTTATTCATTATATTCTTCAATTGAATTGCATAGAAAAACTTTTAAAAGTATTTTAGTTCAGCTAAGCGCATCGAAAGTGGAAATGTTCAAACCGTGACATTTTTGTTCCGTTGATAAAGAAAGTCACATATTCTGCTATCTTGTATCTTTTAATTGAGTAGACAATTTGCTCATTGTTTGCAGATTCACGTTGTTATTATCACTTATTGTTAAGTCGAAAATCATGACTTGCATCGAAAAATCTTTACAGAACTGACATACATTTTTGAAAAGTAAATTATGAAAGAATTTTAAGTATAGAATATCGACTTTTGGGAGAATTATAATAAAGCTTGCTTGAATTTAAGTTGCCGAGAGAAGTTTCACATTTAGAAACTAACCAACACTATTTTACGACACGCCGAACAATAATAATAAATCACGCATCTATTTTTAAACATTTCATAATTTTACAAAAATTATTAAATAAAAAAACGTGCGATGAGATGCTAATTTAAGTGAAAGCACGCGATTGTATACGTAAAATATAGTTTAGTATGATTATTTTTACTTAATATATCTACTTTTAATTTAATGCGAATTATAAAAGTTATATATATCGACATTCTTATTCATAAATAATAATGTAAAAAAATATAAACAGTTTTGAACAATTAGGTATATTTATGTACACAATTTATTTTTATTTACTTTTTGTCTGTGTATGTACAAAATAATAATATTCATTATTTTTACATGAATTAAACTCAAGAAAAATATTTAGTTCCAAATACGTTTTTGCTAATTACAATTTAAAAAGAAATAGTTACCTTCTGTTTAGATGACTAATATGTATATTAATGCTATCGATTTTGTATTGAATCAGAGTATTGCTCTTTATTGACGTTTTTATTTCGGTTTACAATTACTTTGAATGAAGAAATCGCGAACGCGCTTCGCTGATAAATGCTTTGACTGAACTGACTCTGGTTTCCGTTTGCATGCTCTCTTACTATGTTCATACCGCAAACGATCGGATCTCGTCGTAATTCATATTTCCCTTCCTCGTATGGATTGTCTACAATATTACATAATACATTGATTCTAGTATGCAAATATCTATAAGTTTGGTTTAACAATAAATTTCTAAATATGATGGCCTTGGTCACCCTCAATATGCGCTCGGATGTACCTTCTGTACTTGTATCATATTTGCTCATTACTGTTTGTTTACCAAACTTAATTGAATTTAAATTTATCTTAAAATTTAATTTGCATTTATCGTAAAGTGAGTTCCACTTTCAATTTTTTATTTAAAGAAACCTATGATAAACAATTAGTATCGATTATTGACAATGGTGTTTTCATTCAGTAAACATTATGTTTATTTTATCTCTACGACCCTATTACTGCCACTCTTATTATTGATCATACTGTAGATTTTATAGTTGGTGAGATTCGAACCTATTATTATTTGTATCCGATTTTATTATATAACTTTTTTTAAAATATGATTTTAATTATCGGCAACCAACTCAACATGTGCACAGCATAACGCAGCATACTAAAGACGATACAAAGTACGTCCGAACGCATATTGATAATCACCAAAGCCGATTATAGTCACCAAGAGCATCATAAGCGAAAGAGGATGAAAATAAAACGGTTCCTTGTATAGTTTTGTATGATGTAGTGAAGAGATCACAAGGAGTGCCACTTGTTTCATTTTCTATTTAAATAAGTTTTGAATGTTGAATTGTTTATACTTAAAATTCTTTATATCAAGAACGATTTGAAAATTTTGAAACAAATTAATTTTTAATTGATGTAATATAAATAAAAAGTAAACTATTTTTTTTATATAAAAATAATTGTTTTTTCCACTATTTATCAATTTATTATTCTTGTGGTCAATCCGAGCTTGGGGGTCGATGGAAACTCGATATATACTCAGTTTTGCAACTTATGTAAAATTTTCTGATGTCAAAATATGTCAGTCCAGATTTGCATAAGACTTTTGTATTAGATATATTAATCAAAGTAAAACCCAACCACTTAAATAGAGACTGTTTGCTAAATTATATTCTGAATGATGAACAAAAACATTGTAACATTTTATACTTAAAGATTCCAGTCGAAGAGCCTAAGAACAATCATTGGTGCTCCATGGTATATTACGAACAGGAGAATTCATGACGACCTTCAAATAGAAACACTAGAGGAAACAATTACGAAAAACAGAAAACGATACCAAAATAGACTAGACAGAGATTCAAACGTACTAGCTGTCAATCTTCTGGACAAAAGCCTGACAACACGGCGACTGAAGAGACACAAGTCACTGGATCTACCCTTGAGATTCAACAAATAACTAGGGTCGACAGGACGCAGCTAAATGGTAGAGACTCTTCCTAGAGGACAATTAAAATCTTGTCAACCGCCAGATCATTTGGTGAATGTTTTTATTATGGAATAGTAGTGAATAAAAAGGACGATAAAAAAAATATACTTAACAAGCACCTCGCATAACTAGAATTTGGCTTAACGAGCAACATGAATTGTAAAAAAAATGTTTGGCATAACAAGTGACGATGAGAAGAGAAGTCCCGGATTGCGCGCCTGCTACATCATTTTTATAACTTATGTACAGATATTATTTGTATTTTTGAATATGTTTCACTATACGAG